TGTATGTCTGTTTTCATTTGACTGTATTATTGGGATATGTTAGATAAACTGCCAAGTTAATTAGGAAATGTACATGTGTTTATTTATTTTATGATTTGCGTGGAATTAATATGTTGACGAATACATTGATTTAGTTTAATTACTTATAATATAAAATTTAACGAGCATGGTTTATTTGTGTCTTTCTTATATTACGATAATAGTCTCAATTTGTACCTAAATCTGAGTTATATTGATTTATTTTCTTTAGTTAGGTTAAAAGGTTAGGAGTTTAATATTAAATGTGTATATTTACTCGTTAGATGCTAATGAATGTAATTCTGTTTTTTAACAGTTGTTGATAACTCTGATATTTTATATGAGAATTATATTAATAATAAATTTACTACGACTAAACTAAAAGTAAATTAAGGAAGTTATAGTAAAACCCTATTATACTTATAATGATGGCTAATAATAGTTCAGTTACTTATCAAAAATAAATATTTCATTCACTTATTTCAACTATTTATTACTTATTTCAAATATTTCATTATTCACACTAAATGTCTTGCTGTGTGGTGTTCCTTGTTTGGGATAGTAAATTACGTTTACTATTTCGAATATGTAGATATTGCATGGTTAATATTTAGTACATGTCTATATTACATTACACGGAAGATGTAGTGAGAGGAAGATCCTTGAGTCTTATATATATTTTTGCTGAAGGCTTTATTAGAAGGAGGCAAATGTTTGTATCGATGAATAAACTATTGAAGTAACATTTTCCAATAATTTATGATGATCAAATGTGAACCGTAAATCTCTATGGAGACTTTAGCAAGTAAGTGAAGTTATAATAAATAGGTTGTGGAAGTTTTTATCAGGAGGAGAGAGAGGCTCAGATCGATGAATTTATGATGAAGTCACATGTTCCATCATTTGAGGAGAGATGGGTCAAAGCTCGCAATGAAGGTTTTAGACCACGATCCCTGTGGAGATTTCTACAACCAGTAGGGACTTAACTTAGTTGATAACACTGTGGTTATCTAGGACACACACCCTAAGTTTTACCGTATGCATGTTGTATGGCCAGTGTATCAATATAGCGATATGTTGCTACTCTGGATATGCAGCATTGTGTGGGTAAAGTTTAGGACGCATTACATTTATTATATTACAACTTATTATACACTGCACAAATTAAATAGATAATTAATAAATGAATTAACCCATACGAAGATTATATACATTCCACAAAAGATGTCGCTTGGGGGTTCTGGTTACTGAAGGCTTCACTGGAAGGAGGAAAATACTTGTATCGATGATTGAACTATTGAAGTGACATTTTCCAATAGTTTTTGATGATATATTATGATCCGTAAATCTCTATGGAGGCTTTAGTAAGGAAATATAATTTCTGTAATAGTTGTGGAAGTTTTCATCAGGAGGAGAGAGAGGCTCAGATCGATGAATTTATGATGAAGTCACATGTTCCATCATTTGAGGAGAGATGGGTCAAAGCTCGTAATGAAGGTTTTAGACCACGATCCCTGTGGAGATTTCTACAACCAATAGGGATTTCTGTTTAGTTGATAACTGAGTGGTTATCTAGGACACACACCCTAAGTTTTATCGTATGCATGTTGTATGGCTGGTGTATCAATATAGAGATATATTGCTACTCTGGATATGCAGCATTGTGTGAGTAAAGTTTAGGACGCATTATATTTATTATATTACAACTTATTATACATTGCACAAATTAAATAAGTAATTAATAGACGAATTAACCATTGAATATAATTATATTAACCAGCAGAAGCAATAGCAATGCGGTTCACTATGACTTCCTTATAGATATGTCTTGCATTTCATAAATAAAGGAATTGCTAAATTATAATATAGAATTATTATATTGAAGTATAAGAATGCATTTATTAGATCACCACATTGAGATTAGTAATATTAAGTGTATATGCACTTAATGTTGTAACAACCTTTATGTTAAATATATTTTATATGAATAGCATAAATTAATAATTAGAGTTGTAAGAGATTACATTAATATATATGTAACTGTGAATATTGTAGGCATTGGGGGGTTTATTAGATGAATTCTGGGAGGTTCCCAGAAGTAGTGAAGGTGAGTGTTAATGCATTCTAAAAGAGCTCTTTAAACCTACACCCGAGTCACAAGTCTCGGGCACCACTTGTGGTTCTCTCCCTGAATCATCAGTGGCCGGTATGAAGGCTAATCGTCATCATAACTAGTGGGTTTAATAAACATGTACATATAAAAGTATAATTGCTAATTAAGCCAGTATTATAATAAGACTATATTGTTTCTTATTTAATAAAACTACAATGTAATAATATATAAACTAACTATAAATAAGACATGGGATCTTAACATCTCCAGTCATTCCTATCAATCACCCATTGGGCAATCGGATTCATGTGGGCGATGCATTATCAAAATTATTATATAATTTTGAATATATTGAAATACAAGACCAACCATATACATATAGATATCGGTAATAATAATATTACATTTTATTCTACAATCAATTCTAAGGAACATCGGTTCTTTATTAATTAATATATTTAATATTATTCTTCTTGTTCCAGTCAATTCAATAAAATAAAGGTTTATTTTAAGGTCTTTGGCCTTAATAATAAATACTAATTACTAGAGCGTAAATATTCAGTATAATAATATTAGGACTCTTAGTCCTTTAATTTATATATACATATTATATGTGTATATATACATACATATATAAATATAAATACATACACATAATCACATCTATGGCTTCGGTCCTCAATGAAAATATATTTTATGACTATCCATTTTATGGCTAAACATTTTATCAATTACCAAGCCTTGGCTTTTATATCCAGGACTCCGGTCCTCTATCATATCGACTATCCACCTAGTGGTTGTCTATACCTAACAATCATCCAGGTCACAGACCTCTGTCACTATTATTTATATTATTATGATTATTTCACTATGTGATTAATCAAATTCTACTGATTACTATATCAGGACATGCAGTCCTTCTACAAACTAAACATTACCTTCTGGTTGATTCTTTATGTGGAGCATCCAGACATCTATTTTCAGATATGGGACTTATAGTTCTCGCTTATAATATCTCATCAATATAAAGATTACTTCGCCATGCAAGTAATTCTAATTTACATATAATCAATCATATTAGAGCCCAGCTCTTATTCACAAATATCTAATTCTTAATTCCTTGAGTATTCTTGGTATTAAGTAAATTTATAAACTTTATATGCTATGTTTGTAATATAGCAATTATCAACATTATATATTGGATTGACCAATATTGTGGTGTTGATGGCATTGAGCTATCACACTACTCTATTATTATTATTTATCGTACTGCAATTACTGGTGATCTCCAATGTCACATTATAGGGCCGAAAGGATTATCCATTAGTAAGTTCTGGTATTTGATTGACCTCCTAGTTTCTGTTACGACTCGTACTGTATCTTCAGTCTGATCTCCAATGTCACATTATATATAGCCGAAGGGTATTCCCCATTAAGTAAGCTACGTGACCGAGTGATGCTGGGATTTAGTTTCGAGATCGGGCAGTCTCTTTGACAGTCTCTCTATCGCCACATAGAACCGAAGGAGTCAATATCCATAAGTAAGCTTCTGTGTCGTGAGTGATCCTGAATTCAGTTTCGATCTGCCTATGGCAACTATATTTTATCTACCTGCTTTAAGCATCGCAAGCTTGGTGAAACCACTTGTAATGTTGAATTAATAATATAAATTAATCTTGTTTTGGTGCTGAGAATACTCATCCCATTTCACTTTCAAATGGTGCGTATTGCAACCCTACCTTGCATATCCCACCTTATTTATTAAAACCATAATGGTTCAATGATTCAAATATATACCTTATAATTAATATTCATAACATATACTCTGTATCATAATTTGTATTATTGAGATATGTATTTATCTCGCAGTTATTACTCCATCATATACCAATAAAAGAATCTATAGTTACTACATATACACAACGGGTCCACCGATACTAGACGATCACAAGAATTTATTTATATGGCCAAATGATTAAAGATTGAGTGTTCCATCGTTATATGATCTATTATATTAGCGATTCCTCTGTTATTTAGAGAGGGTGTTTAGTTCAGTTTTATAGGTAAGGGGGGGAACGTTACATCACGACGTCATTATCGGAACTAGCGGCACATTGCGTAACGAGATCAAAAAACTGAGTCGTGACATTTCGATATTACTCTTATAAATACCTATATTTATAGACACAAGTGATTTAATCAAATACAATATACTATATTTTATCTGAATCTGATCTGGATCTGAATATGTACATATTTATTACGAACTCCAAAAAAATATTGCGTTAGACCTAAATAGATTTTATTTAACCCCTAGATTTATGTCAATTAAAGCGCCCACGGGTAATCTCCCGGTCCCAACGTGAAAATTTACTTTTGTTGCGGAGTGACCCATCCGTGGGCATGCGGTCTTTAACATGTTAAACAAGTTAAACCCGGTCGGACAACAACGAACTGCGTCGTCGGCACGGGCTGGCTATCAAATGATTGGGATCTCGTACTCGCCTATTAGATTAAGTAATAGCATAAGCATACCATTTCACACGCGCACATAACAAAAGTAGTAATTTACAAGTACGTAGTTATAATGCGTATATGAATAGAATACGTAGTTGAAATGTTTAATAAAAATGTATCGTTTGATAAATCATATTATTAATTTTTATACTACATTCCAATTGTATTTTTCAGTTGATTAAATTGCCATCTTTATGGAGCCATTTTCAAATATTGTATTATAAGCGTGAAGACCGAATTTTAACATATAAATCACACGTCTTTACTATAAGTTTTTTTTATAATGACTGTTTTATTATTTAACTGTTTCTATGGTAACATTACAAGACAAATGAATAATGAAAATACTTACGATATTGGCTGGCAAAACTGCAAGTGTTGCTGGTACGATTTGTGTTGCCAGCTGCAAAGGTTGCCAACCACTATAAGATTTCGCGGCGTTACCCGTCCGCCAAACGGTCACTCCAACTATACTACCATAGTGGCCCATATAACGTGTGGGCGTAGACACTGTGTTCCCTGGCATTGGTTCCGACATGGGCCATAGAAATTGGAATGATTTTAGTGTCTCTGGAATCATGAACAAAATATAAGTAAGTGAAATAAAACACGTTGGATATGCAACCGTGTTACACAGTTCTAAAATAAACGCAGCTTAAAAGCTGTATCGCTAATAAAAAAGTAACAGTAATAAACAATTGCTTTTTAAAATATCTCCCTCTTGAGATGAAGAGCATACACTACGTACGACTCTGACAAACTGAACTGAATTTCTTTTTTTTTAATTAAAAATAGCCATTAATATAATAGCACCAACAATATTCATACAAGCAACGTGTCGGAAATCTAAAATCTCAATCACTCCTGGTGACGGTCGGGATAAATTTGATTTTTTATTTTGATTTTACATATAGTAGTAGTATGTAGAATTGTGTCTGAAATGTGTTTTCTAAACGATATAATAACTTATAAAACATTTTACGCGTAAAATAAGTGCGTCATTAGCTAAGTAAATTGGTTTTAGATATGAACCTATATATAACACAGTGTAAAATCTTTAGGAGACTTACCAAAACTACCTGGCACGTAAATATATCCGTAATTCCTTAAAATCTGAACACAAACATTGGCCAAAAAAGATCCCAACAATAGAACAGCAAATGTGAATGCTATTATACAGGCACTTTCCTTCTGCAGTGTGACATTGGTTTTCTTCTTTGAATTTTTGTGTGATGTTAATTGCATTATACATGGTCCTAAAAGACCCCAAGTGAAGAATATCTCTTGAGCTGCCGCAGCCCAACTCTGCAACCATCAATTATTGATTAAATATATATTACTTAAATGTGTACATATATACAATAAATAAAACCTTTCAGAGTAAACATGACTTTCCTCTTTATTCACAAAATAATAGATTCAAGTTTTCCCAATCATTGTTTTTCTTAGCTGCATGTCGCATATAAGTTCCTTTATTTCGAGTTGAAGTCTATTCCATAAGTTCACAAAAAAAAATGAAAAGAAGTCTTATTCTTGGCAGCTAAATTTGTATCGCCTATGATTATGGTCGATTGCAATTAATAATAATAGATAACAGATACATAACACGGTAATGTAGTTCTCAAATCTACTTTCGACGTACAGACAATCGATATAAGTTATGTAACCTAAAGAATATTAGATAGTATTTTATGTATTATAATAACTATGAATGTGCTTTATCTGACTCACAGCTATATGCAACAATTTTTATCAGTATAATGCAATATTATTTTAGCATTGTTTGGCAAAGATTACATATTGCTCACGAAACGAATAAAATTATACCTAAATATAACGTGCTGTTTTGTGCACGTATTTTACAACGGCTACAGTGGTCTAGTGGTTTAGCACACCGCTTTACTTCCGATGGTCGGGGGTTCGATTCCTCGCACGCAAATGTTTGTGACACTTGTATTCATGACTTTGATTGTTTATATCGGTCTGGGTGTTTTCTATGTATATTATGCACGTATTTACAAAAAAATATATCTAAGTATTCTATCAGTCTAGTACCCATAACACAAGCTCTGCTTAGCTTGGGACTAGATGACGTTGTGTGTATTGTTCAATAATATTACTATTAAATAAGCAAAGCGTGCAATTTAAACCGTGGTAAGAAAAGCACGATCAGTATAAACACAAACTCAAAGGTACTTCACTGATGACATTATATCTGTGGTGCTATTCACATAGCTACTTACGATCACTAACATTAGTGTCAGCTAATTTGCCATTTTAATTACATAAAAAAACTAAAAATTCACTAAACAAAGAGAAATACATACATTACTGTTGATGAAAAATTCACTCCATTCAGTTTCCAAAAATATATTGGTGACGGAATCGTAGGGTATAAGCGTGAGTAGTTTTGTACACAACACCAGTGTGCCGCAAATAGGCAGGAATATCAGCATATACACAGCCTGCAAAGTGACATTATATATACATACCTATAGATCACGCAGTAATATAACGAGTCACTGAGCCTTATCCCTAAGATAAGTATATTGGTATAAAAAGAAAATCAATATGCATGAAGCGGTCTAGCAAACGCTGTAATGGTATTCAACATATTCCCAACATTGAGACAATGAATTTTTATGATTAATGATGATGGTGCTGCGAGAGCGTAGAGTAAAATACGGCAGGATTTTTAACGTAACATCAGATATTTTAAATTTAATCGGGTTGCATTATACAGGGTTTATCGTATAGATAATATCGAAAACTCTGTGACAGTACTTACTAAACATAGCCCGATTACAGAAAGAAACTCCGAATATTTCCATGAATTTGAAGTCTTTCATCGATGATACGAGCGTGGGGGATTTAACGAAACAATTAAGTCTTATTTTCATACTAGCTTGTCATTCTGCATGTCTGGCTGTCAGAGACGTTGTCGCCATGAGCGATAAATATGACGGGCAAAGACAAAAAGAAGTCATTATTGAAATACCACCAACTCTTAATACACTTTAGTACATTACGTTCAAGACGTAATATACTAACTTTATTATATGAAACATTACTTCGGAAAGTATTTTTCTTGAATATTATCACTGAGTCGACTTTACTGTATTTAGTTGGGTATTTTAAAATAATTAATTTTAAAATACCCGTAGTGTAATTACATTCAGTGTTATCTATACAATATATACCTATTCTATTACTTGTTATGTTCGTATTATGGAGACAGTCAAATCTAAATTCCTTTAAATTAATGAATTTTCCTTGAAATAATGCATTTCTGAGTAGTTCATAAGAGAGATTATCTTTATAGATCATTAGTGGTTTTGTTTTAATTAACGATTAAATGGCGACATAAAATGGAGAGTTGTCTTATTTCTTAAGTTTCCAATAATATTATAGAATACAATTTTCTGAAAGTAGAACATGTTAAATTTATAGTAAAACTGTTAATAACTAAATAATTATTTTTAATAATAACATTACCTTGCCATAAGATCGGAGTCCTTTGCTGAGCGAAACAAAAACTATCATCCAAACAACGGCCAAGTTAAATGCAATTTGGAACTTTATAGTTCCATAGTATATATTAGTGACGCCCAAATTTCTTTGTAATACTTCTCCATGGAAATACTGAGGCAATGTTTCCTGTATTTTAAACGATGTATTTTTAAAGTTACCATCTGTAAAAAAACGTTATTTTCAATATTAAACAGTGAATTAAAATAGTCTCCTAGTTGTTTACTAACCCCACACAACGAAAGGATGCGAGTCCGAATTTGTTCGACACCAAAAGCTGGGTCGATTTATATTTTTGACTAACTCTCCGGTGATAGAATCACGGATAAAAACAAAATTAATCCGAGAGAAGGCGGTTATCTCGGTAGATTGCTCGTTGGATTCAAATGTACCGTAATTGTAATGTAATTAATTGGGCACGCCAAGTGATGCTTTCACCACGATATAGACAATGTCTCTGACTACTCCATCTAGGGTGACAGTGGTGAACGTATAAATATATATATATAACAATATTCGTGTTTGTATAACTTCCTAGAGATAGACACAATAAAAAGTAATTGACCAAATTAGCATCTGAATTGATGACCTTCAAATCTTATTTCCTGTAATTTACTCTTGTTGGACGCTAAACATTGCACTTGTATAGCACTTCTAAATAAGTATCAAGCGAAAGAGCGTCGTTCGTTACTTAGTTCGAATAATCCATTTCCAACCATAATCGAATTCACGACCTTAGTGGGGTAGGACCACTAAGATCGTGAATTCGATTATGGTTGAAACCAAAAAAACTTCGTGTCAATTTATATTTTTGAATTACTCTACGGTGTTGCAACAGCGATAATAAACCAAATAGGTATACCCAGCAAAATATAGGCATGGTCAAATGTTCGCTTACAAAGATAAAGAGCTTAGGTACATACTGATGTCAAATATGAAACGATATTCTAGACTCTAATAACTTACCATCAAAATTGTATTCATGAGGCAGCGCCCATTTGTATTTGTCTTCGGATGTTATAAATGAATCTCTGAAGTAAACGAACAACCATGACAAGCCAATTATACTATACATTCCGATTACAGCTTGAATAACGAGCAACGAGATACCAACTCCTTGAAATATTGGCGATATCCTCCACATGTCCACTGGCCCCGAACCCAGCACTTGGCCTATACTTAGGTATAATGTAAATAATGGTATTCCAACCAAAAGTGAAAGGATTAAGAACTGTATTATGAAGCAGGCTGAAACAGCAATAAATTAATTAAAAATCAAATACAACAAAGGAAAAATTCTCACTTATTTTACTTTAAACAACAAAATTACCTCCAAAATGGACGCTGAACATAGCAAACCTAGATATATTAAATATTCCTACAGTACAACTTAGGCACGCCAACATAGCACTCAATCGATGAGGCCATACTCCAAAAGGAGGTTCTTCAGTCTCGTCATTTCTGTGGACAAAAGAATATACCACAATTATGTTAGTTTGTATTTGGTATTTATTCACTAAATGACCTAATACAATGACACATTATTAGGTAAACTCGAGGTATTTAATATTGAATCTTATGAAGAAAATATACTGTTATTTTCGCTGAATTGTAATCTAAAAATTATAATATTTTGTACATTAAAACATGCAGTAAACATTGTTGACTACAAAGAAGATACGGAGTAAACTTCTTTCTAAAATACATCTAAAAGTAGGCAGATTTGACTAATATGTTTTGGTAATTTGAAATTTAATATTATACCTCTCCTCAGTGGTTCCAGTAGTTGGAATAGGCGGTTCTTCAGCTCCCATTGATTCACTAGAAGAACTAGACGCACTAGTGCTTCTGGCAGTACTTCGTACAGTGTTACGTCCAGTCCAGTCACCTGTTGTCACGTCACTCTCCCCCGGAGATGGTAGCGATAAAGTTCGGTTCATAAGTAATGTACGACGACCTACTATCAGAGGGCCAGAACTGCCATCACTACTTAAATTCGCGGCAGTTAACTGCAATTGTATAGGAGCACTAGTCGGTCTCATATTAACATGATGCTCCAAAAAAAGTATAACTGGTAATGTTAAAGGTTCACAGGGTTCTTGGTTCGTTATGGCCGGTAAAACAATTGGATCCAACCTTCTCATTGAATTTCGTATACTATCATTGGTACCAGCATGTTCTAGTGAAGAAACCAAAACCTCTCTATGACTGTTAGATAAATCTGAAAAACTTTTGGAACGGCCTAAATAACTGAGATTCGCTCTTTCATTAACTCCCTCTACACTAGCTACAACTACTTGAGTATTGTCGTCAATAGAACTAGGCCCTTGAGAAGGATCATTTATGTCAACTCTCTCACCAATTACTTCTTTAATTTTACATATTAGATCTTCTTCATCACTATCCAAGCTTCGTGCACCATCGTCGAGACACGCCAAAAGCGACTTGTCTAATACTTCATCTAGGTCATTCAAAATGTCCATGAATTGACAAAGAGCTGTAGCTTGAAACTCATCGTCGTTAAAGTCACTAGAAGTGTGTGATGAAAAATTTGAATCTGACTGATAGCATTCTGGAATCGTTTTCTGAAGATCCTCTTTTAAGTCCCCATCATTGGAGGATTTCTCGAAATCTTCACTATCGTTGCTTTCAAATATACTGCTAGAAGTGTCACTGTCAGCACTGCTTCCTGGCAGATTTTCTCTTTGTTCATAATGATCTTCGTACACCACTTCCATTTTAATTGCACGGCCTAAGTCATAGCCCGCTCTTTTTGGCGTAAACCCTGTAAATTTATATCCTGTTCAAAAATAACACTCTTTTAAATCATTAATTTAAAAGTATGTATATCAGGAATTATATTTTGAAAAATCTGCCTGCGTTTAAAAGGTCTACAAAACTAACTGACTCTGTATACAATATATACTTTGAGTTCACAAAATTCAAAAATCAGTTGGATGATCGATTGTATTAAAATTTCGTTACACACAGTGTCACAGTTTTATTAGAGTGATTTATACTCATTTGTATAAACTTTTATGAGAAAGTATTTCATGAGGATTATGATGAACGATGGATGACTAAATAAATAGAAATAAAAACACACAGTATTTTAAGGATAGAATTTTCCACAACTTGTCCATTCCACAAGAACGTGAAGAGTAGTTGTTTTGTTTTTAATTCTTCACATGTTAATCGCGGCACTAATAAGCCTAATTACTGTAACATGCTGTGAAAAACAACTAGACATTATCATTGGACTGTTAAAGTTTGTTGAGTACTTACACTGTCTCTATATAAGTACATAAGAATGATAAGACATTGTTGAGTCATATTTCTATTTATAGTATAATTATAATTTATTTATATATTATAATAATATATATAGGTAATTCAAACTAAAAATTAAAACAAAATTTTTATTGACTCATAAAGTCAAAATAATGGTCCAGGATATGATCCACTTGTTTGTAATTATCATTGTAACAAACATCAATCACATTACATAATAGTAAAAGTATAAAGGAGAACATTAAGGTTGCCTAAACCTATTTTTATTTTTATTGTGCTAATAGTTTTTTTTTTTCGGTCTACTCTAATACTGTTGGCCGTAGCTGGCCTTTACAGCTTCACTGGACGTTAGGGGCGAGTGCAGATGGCACTCCAAACCCGCGGAAGGATTTATGGAGCGGCTGAAGGCCAACTCCTGCCTGACCGATACAACTTTAGTCTGAGGGCACCACTAGGGGTTCGAACCTCGGCTCAGGCCGTCGTAATTTCGATCCCCGTTTGAATCGGACGGGGGATCGATCGGAGGGGCGCCCGGGGGCGCCGGTGTGGAGCGCCCGGGCGCGCACAGGCGCCCGGTTGTATGCGCGATATTGTGTGTTTGAGGTCGTCGTCTTCGCCGACGAGGACGGTGTCGTGTGTGTGTGTGTAAAAGTGTGGTTGGGGTGGAACGGGTGGGCCCGTGGGGAGGTTACCTGCCGTTATGGGGTAGTCGGGGTCAATGAGAACGTGCCTCGGGCAGCGTTGTTGCGTATGTCGGATATTACTCCTCAGTACGTAGTCGACCGCACTGACTATAAGCGGATTAGGGTGGGATTGGGCAGAGTCGAAGTAGCGTCGAGACGCTTCCTTCATAAACTGCTTGATGGAGGGCAAATTAAGATCGCGGTGGAGATCTACGCTGCGAACAAACCACGGCGCACCGGTGGCTCGACGCAGAAACCTATTCTGTATGATCTGTAGTTGGTTGATTAAATAGTAGGGTATGTGGGCGAATACGGAACTAGCGTAAGTCATGATGGGTACTAATAGTCTGCAAACTATTGACTAACTTAAAACTTAAGGTAAAATATGAAAACAAATATCCCCCTTTTCTTTATAAATAAAAAATAATTAAAATTAACTACATTGGTAGGAAAAAATACAAAATGAACTAACATCTCAGTAGTCTAACAGTTTAGCTCAAGATCTACTAAGTAATTACTTTCAATGATTGCAGATTCAAATCTTACAGAAATTTGTAATCATTAGGCATAATTGGTCTTGGTATTTTATATATATATTATTTATAAACGTATTTAGTTGCCATAGTGACATTTGACGGTATTTGTGGTCTAGCCATTTACCCTGCCACTTTACTTTTAATGATTGAGGGTTTGATCCTAGGTATTAGGTAGATAGTACCCACTAAGGTAATATCAATATTACAAACAATATACACATAAAATTTGTTGTCCTGTCTGCCAATCAACATAACAAGCCAAAACTACTAATTTAAATGATTGCTAAAAAATAATGTCTAAAATTTAACATGAAAATGGGAAATAAAAGTTACACACATATAAACCCCTAGGATAAAGCTAATAATAAATGAAAGTAACTAAGGTCATAAATATAAAAAATCACACACTTTATTACTCACACACTGATACTTACTTTGATTTCGGTTTTGATGTCAAAACATATATTGAGTAAAATTATGTGAGTCAGACACAAATTTCACTATTCACATAAACTTGCTCACTAGCATGAGAGTTTATCATTTGACTCAGGATACAATGTACACATATTGACTGAAGCAGGCTACAGGCATACTTTTATAAAAAAAAATGTCTTATATCAATGACTATTTTATTCTTCAATCCATACTTTCAAAGGACACCATGTTTTCTGAAATCTGGAAATACCACCTAAACCTTGTAATGATTACTTGCTCAGTGCACTGATGTAAATATTTATTATTCAAATAAAGATTATGTACTATATTTTTAAAATATAATTTAAAAGATACAAATACACTGGCATGCTTGACAACAAACAATTGAGAATAAGGTGGTGTTCCAATTCCAAGTTCCAAGCACTTGTTTCTTATGGCACTTTTAAGATACGGATATTTTTTGTTTTCCTTTCTTAAGTTTCGTATTAACATTAAATTTTAGGCTTAACATTAAAGTTCTTCTTATTATCTTATTTATCACATACCTATATACTTAATAAATTACTTCATTCAAGTTTGAAATCGGTGGTCTTGTGTATTTACCTTAACATAAGTGTAGTATATATCGCTAATTATTACTTAATATAATTTTATACCACATTAACAAGCGAAGAGGACATGAGTAAAGTTAAACACGATAATATAGAGTGTAGAGGTATACAATAATTTAGTTAAAATTATAAATAATATTGTGAATTGAGAAAGAATCGCAGAGCACATATTTGCTCTGTGATTTGAGCAGATTAATAAAACTTGCTTACCACAGACCACTATTCCACAAAAAAAGTTTAGTTAAAAATACAGATTAGTTAGAGATCGGCAATTATGCACTATCTACAATGTGTGAAAGGGACAGAATCCCTAATTATGAAATATCATAATAATTAAAATTAAGGACATTTATTTAAAATAAATATTCGTATTATATTTAGCTTTAAAGTTAAATTTACTGGTGAAACGATGAAACTGACTCCCACTCAGCATTCATGAATTGTGTAGCGAATGAAATATGAATTTACCGTGGATAAGGTCCAAATTAGAACTTTTTACATTGTATATTCAATGGATAATATTAAAGAATCATTGTGACTATATTTCAATGTAGGAAATTAACCTATAAATTTTATTTTGAATGTAATTTGTTTATAATTGCCAACTACTTTAGATTAAAACAGGCTTTTAAACAGGATCTCATAGTTATTGTATTATACTTCTGTAAAAAATCGTTGTCGAGTCACCTATTTCAGAAAACTTCCACTTAGCTACGTTGAAGAATGTACGAAAAATGTCTCCTATATGAATTTACATTTGGTCTGTAGTACCACATACTACATAATATTAACTGACGGAGGATTGACAACTGATAGATGAAATCATCCCTCTTTAGATTATACTTCAACAATTTTAACTGTTAGTTGACAGTATTGAATGAAGTTAAAATCGAAAATGTAAAGCGGGTTTGGATATGGTCACAGGGTCAAAGGTTCTAACTATAAATAAAGCTCTTTACATGTACATTATAATTAGTACATTTGATTAGGTTCTCTATGTCGTACGCCATAAGGTTCAATTTATTTTGCAGTAATTTGTATTTGGTAACTGGATTACATAGATAAATGTATGTATATAAAATAATAAATGGTAGGGAGTGTGTAACTGTGTACTGATAAACTCATCTCATTTCATAACTTTTTAACAATACGTAACATTAGATCGAATATTATAGTAATATTTCTAAAGAATCTATAATGATTTTCCTAAATGGAATTAGCATCAAAATGCAATCAGCAAATAAGGTTAGTAAACTTTTTACTCTCGTCAGAGTCGTCAATCAGTCGTGCATGAGCTGCCATAAGTGTTAGAGGTGTGGTGTTTATTAACTTAAATAAATTAAAGGTGTATTTTCGTAAATTACTTAGAATGAGAGATAAATCATTCGTACGTTATAGATTTTTCATTAAAAATAAATATTTTTTACCATTGCAGATTTTTATGACAATGGCAGCGTATTCATCTAAAGTATCACTTAATGAAGTGGTAATAGCATCCGCAGTTAGGACTCCTATAGGATCCTTCAGGGGCAGTCTTGCTAGTTTATCTGCTACGGAACTAGGGGCTATCGCTGTAAAGGGTGCAATTGAAAGAGCCGGCATACCAAATGAAGAAATCAAAGAGGTATACAAAATTGTTACTTTTTGCCGCAAATCATTAATTTGATTGTCCTTATGAAATTTATGAGCTGACGAAAGTAGAAAAACACGTAATCATAGTATCGATCTTAAAAATCTCAGTCATCTTGTTTTTAGTGACAATGTTTTCTTTTATATCCTAAAGTGAAATTGCGTGACCCACTGACCGTGTACGAGGGAATTTAGGTTGATACTCGTAGATTGACCACTGATTTTTACTAGATTCTAAATTATAATATTGTCTTTAACTATAATAAACTTTAAATATAATAATGAAAATTTCATTATGTTAATTTTTTATGCAAAATATGTGGTATGGTACTAATATATATCAGAAACATAAAACTTATAAAAATAGGATGAGTTTTGTTACTCTTTCAGGCAAAATGAATAAACTAATTTAATAAACTTTTCACTTTTTTTTATAATTAATAGTGTTATATGACTAAATTAGATTTTTATATTGTAGGTTTACATTGGAAATGTATGTGGTGCAAACTTAGGTCAAGCACCCGCTAGGCAAGCAGTTATATTTGCTGGTCTTCCAAAAAGCACTATTTGCACAACAGTGAACAAAGTTTGTGCTTCTGGTATGAAATCAATTATGTTAGCAGCACAAGGATTACAGACAGGCGATCAAGATGTGATATTAGCTGGAGGAATGGAGTCTATGTCAAATGTGCCATTTTATTTGAAGAGAGGCGAGACAGCATATGGTGGGATGCAGTTGGTGGATGGCATAGTATTTGATGGCTTAACTGATGTCTATAATAAATTTCATATGGGGAACTGTGCTGAAAATACTGCCAAGAAACTAGACATATCAAGACAGCAGCAAGATGATTATGCCTTATCTAGTTATAAACGAAGTGCTGCAGCTTATGATGTCAAAGCCTTTGCTGATGAGCTTGTACCAGTACCTGTTCCTCAGAAAAGAGGTGCTCCCCCAATTATATTTGCAGAAGATGAAGAATACAAAAGAGTTAATTTTGATAAATTTACAAAATTAGCAACTGTGTTCCAACGAGAAAATGGAACAGTAACAGCTGGGAATGCATCAACATTAAATGATGGGGCTGCTGCTCTAGTATTGATGACTGCTCAAGCTGCTCAAAGATTAAATGTTACTCCTATTGCTCGAGTTGTTGGATTTGCTGATGGAGAATGTGATCCAATTGATTTTCCAATTGCTCCTGCAGTAGCCATTCCAAAACTACTGAAAAAGACTGGTGTGAATAAAGATGATGTTGCTCTATGGGAAATTAATGAAGCCTTTAGTGTTGTGGCTGTTGCTAACCAAAAACTGTTGGATTTAGACCCATCTAAAATTAATGTGCATGGAGGTGCTGTCAGTCTGGGACATCCCATTGGAATGTCTGGTGCGAGAATTGTAGTACACTTGTGCCATGCTTTGAAAAAAGGAGAAAAAGGTGTAGCCTCAATTTGTAATGGAGGCGGAGGTGCATCATCTATTATGATTGAAAAATTGTAAGTTAATAATGGTGTATTTCAATTTAAGCACTTCGTAATTGTTTTACTTGTGCCTTTTTAAATTATTTAGTCTCAACTGTGTGACAGTTTTAGTATAATTATATATATAAATGTGAATAGAACAATAGCTTTAAGCATAAATGTATCACTATAATCTTGACATGAGATTTGTACAGGTGCTGTAAATGTAAATAATATCTATATGTATTGTTGGGAATGGAATACATAATAAATCAAAGGTACTTTGTTTGAGGGATTTTCTTTTTTCCAGACCAGACACTATTGAGGGGCGGCCTGTGCTGACCTTTTATACAAAAGACCCCTGTCCATTATGTGACATAGTAATAGAAGAGCTAGAACCATACAAAAATAGAATTGACATTATTAAAGTTGATATTACTGAAAGAGACAATTTAAGATGGCTGAGGTTATATAGGCATGATATACCAGTATTATTTCTTAATGGAAAATTCCTATGTATGCATAAACTAAACAAGGATTTACTAGATAAAAGGCTTGAAATGATCGAACAAGAAAATTAAACTAGTGTTAATTTGGTGAATTTTCTTGAACTTACCTATACCTAGGCCACATCACTAAAGCAAGCCTGTATCCAAATCGACATTCAGCATGAAAAAAAATCTTAAATAGGAATGTAAGATCAATAATAAATAAATATAATTAATCACAGATCAATATAATTTCAGATTTTAACTTAACAAATTTTATATACCTATTGGAAATACAAAGTTTCATACTATATATTATTATAGAATAGAATCTTATTAAACCTGCGTTTAATAAATCAGATTCGTAACAATATACTAATTATTTGTAATTTCATTCAACCAGTACAAAAATAAACCTGTCTGGTATAGCAAAAAAAAATAACCTACATCTATACATATAAATAAAATTGGAGTGTCTATTTGTAATATTGAAATAACCGTTTTTTACTACAAGCATATGAATATAAATACGGTACATACACCAAAATAATAATTTTTGTCTGTCTGTTTGTTCCGGCTAATTTCTGAAATGGATGGTCCGATTTTTACAGGACTTTTTGGCAGGTAGCTGATGTAATAAGGAGTAACTTAGCCTACTTTTATTTTAGAAAAATAAAATAAAATTCTACGCGGTCGAAGTCGCGGGAACAGCTAGTTGTTACATAAATTTTGTACTCATTACTACTCTACTCACTATCTCTCTGCTTACCCCTTTTAAAACTTGGAATAAAGTTTTAGAAACAATCATTGATAAAAATTTAACAATCATCAATCATTTATATAATAACTTGAATAACAATATTTTATACTTTAGAGTCAAATTTCCTATTTCTTTCTTATACCTACATAGATTATGCCTACCTATACATTAAACTATAGTAATAGTACATATATATTTATATATAGGTATATAATAAATATTATATAGTAATTTTAATACCCACCACGGATATTCTCAGAATAATTATTTAAGTAAATTGGACACTAATTAATTACCTTTTCTGCGAATCAATTGAGAGTTCCAAGTTCCTATTTGAAAACTTTCAATTAATAAATTTGATCCAGGATACAGGTACATATAATTAAATATGCTCAACTTACCCCAATGGAAAACCTAAATAAATATAATTAAAATCTGTATTTAGCTAAAATTGTTATTTAATTGAATAACGGGTAAGTATAAAATAAAGTTAGGTATATTTTTTTGTTGTTATATTCCGACATTTAGAACGAGTTTATCCGTAAATCCCGAATGGAAAAGACTTCCGGTCGGAATCGGTTATAATTGGAACGTAAAGTCTGTCTACGGAGTTAAACACATTTCACCGAATTTTATTTTAACTTTAAATTAGTTGACTGGATTCGATCCTTTCTAATATTATACATTGCGAAGAAAGTAACTCTGTCTGTCGCGCGCAAACTACGCAAAAACCCATTTAAAATAAATTTGGTACACAAATGGTTTAGATCTTTGGGAAGGAAATAGGCTATTTTTTAAAAAATGGTTGAAATGGAAGATGAAATTTTGCATGAAGTAGTCATTTTAAGAGCCAGGAGCTTGAAACTTACTCTCAAGTTGGTTTATAAATTTAAATAAATATGACATTCAAAATTTGTAAAATAGTACCCTTAAGGGGATATAATAAAATAAGGTATGAAAGTTTGTATAGAAATTCGCCGTTTTTAAAGCTATAAGGATGACACAGATTTTTTTTTGTTTTTGGGATAAATTATTCGATAATTTTCTTTACTTAGGTCATTGTTTTATTTATTTCCAAAGTACCTAGTTTCCTTTGAATTTAGTTAGATGTTATTACGTCAATGATTTTAATAAACTCTTTACAGTGAAATACTACGAGTAGCTTATAAAAGCATTGTTACTGTGTCTTGTCTGCAAAATAAGTAGCCTAAATAATTAAAAATATTATTCAAAGTCACTGTTCCATACGGAAAATGCCGCGTGCGCCGCTAGTATAAACAGATATTTAGATGTTAACAATCATAGATGTAGATTAATAAAGAGATTTCACAAATAATAATAGTGGGTATAAGTTGTAATAACTATTATTTATTTTTTCACACATTTGCTCGTAATGAGCATTCACCGGTTTTCGATGTATAAAGCAGCTTATGAAACACGGGTGCGTTATAAACGCAAATAGTGAAGTTATACTCCACGGCCTCACTATTTCCCAGCTAGCAGTCTGCGAGCTGATTTAAAAAAGTAAAACGGCGGGACAGCAACAATGTGAATGGTTGAGTTTATTTAAAATTAAATATGTTGAAAAACGTATTACGATATACGTGCGTATTTAACACAGCTCTATTACGCTCTATTACGGCTTTGGCTGAAATTTCATGTCATGTGTTACTTATAACTATCATAACACACTTACATCATAATATACTACTATATTATTAAAATCGACTCAAATTAAATCATCCTGCAAGTTCCGGTAAATCTTATTGTTTTTTTTCTCATCAGAGTGTTATCAAGTTCTTCCTGACAGATGTTATTTTGACATAACGCAACTGACATATTGCGTTCGTCTAATTATCGTTTTCATTCACTGAAAATGAAATCAAAATAAATTTTCTTCGAAATAAAATAGTATTCTTTCAATAATGTAAATATTTTGAACAGAATAATTAAATACTTTTAAGTCGAAAATTGTGAATGCAATTGATTTCATTCATCTTTCATCTCTTGTTATTATTATAAGCGGAATACAATGGATAACTCAGCTCATGACTCTGCTATACAAACATTGGAGGCTGCTGCACAAATGCTTATGGTGGGACAAAACTGATATCATTTTGACATTTTTACTGATATCCTTCTTTTACTATTTCTCTAACCTTGACACCATTTAATAAAATTTATTGACATAACAATTTTTATATAACCCATTTATTTTATTTTGTAGGCCCCTCCAAATTTAGTGACCTCTGAACAAAGACACCACGCTGAGAGCGTGTTTTTGGAATTTAGAAGTACCAAAAATCCCTATCAGCTATGCCGTGACATTTTAGAGAAATCTTCATCAGACCAAGTGTGCTTTGAAGCAGCTGGATTAATAAAAGCAGCACTGATCAGAGAGTGGAGTTTATTGTCGGAAAATGATATATCTTCATTAAGAGAATATTTACTAAATTATTTACTTAGGAAAGATACTCCTGCATTTGTAAGAGAGAAACTTCTACAGGTAATATCTTAATTTAATTGGATGATTTGAAATCGGTTATTGTGTCACATGGATGTCTTTTTTTAGTAGAATACATCTTTAAAACCTTTACTGCTTTTAACATTTAAAATTAAAATCATGCTTTTCAAAATCTAGTATTAACCTATTGATGATTTTTTGGGACAATAAATTTACTAATATTTCAGACAATTGCCATAATAATCAAAAGAGGAAGTATTGATGATGGGGGAAGAGAAAGGAAAACTCTCCTTGGGGAATTGGAAAAAATTATTCTAAGTTCACCAATAAGTCAGCAGAAATTAGCATGTTCTCTAATTTTAGCAATTATGCAAGAATATGCTATTACTGTCAAATCAGCTGATGTTGGATTGATATGGGAAGTCCACTTTCGACTGAAGAGGTCTTTTGAAGCTTTGGATTTAAAGAGAATATTTAGATTTACTGTAGGTGTTTTAGAACAGATAGTTCGTTCTGGTCATCGCCCTGAAGGAGAACAAGCAATGTTAACTAAGCAGCTGTTAACTATTGTAGAAACAGTGTTGTGCTGGAGCCATGTATCCCCTTTGCTCTCAAAACGACTGATAGGGGCCTTTGAAGCCATTTATGAAAGTGATACAGCGCCAGCTTTGCGTTTAAGTTTAAATTGGAGAGATACAATAATGCAGCCTGAACTTTTAGCCCTGTTCTTTGAGATTCACACATATGTTAGATCTAATCCAGATTTAGCTAGTCCATCATTGACTTGCCTTGTACAGTTGGCTAGTTTGAGCGGGGTTGTTGTTTCCGCTAGTAACCTGAAACAACAATACTTAGAGAATTATGTGAATAGTTTCTTGAATATGATGGCATATATACAACCAGTTGAAAGGGAGATGCTTGGTATATCAGATATTTACAGAAGATTAGTTCAGTTTTTCTCCCCACCTATGATTGCAGCAACACCTTCAGCTTTTCTTCAGAATCTTACTACTTTAACCTGTCTTTGCATCAGGGGATCGGTTATGGAAGAAGCTGTAAGTATTTTTAGCTCAGCATTACTCAGAAAATTCCTGTTTAGTGGTAATAATTTAAGTAAAATATTGAGGGAGGGAGAGTTGGTTAAATATAGTGTATAGTGGCTAAATATATTAAAACAAAATTTGTAAATAAATAATTGTATTATAATTGTAAATAAAAATTTGTAATAAAACCAACGAAACTTCAAATTATTTCCAACACTATCTGTATTTAAGCATATGTCAATTCTCTTGATGGTGAGTTGACACATCTCTACTATCGCAAAATACGTAAGTCACACCAGGGAGTGGGAGTTTTACAAATGTACCAGCTGTGATAAAGATGGGGAGGGATAAATAAAAAATTGTGTGTTATAACTTATAATTTATGGATGTCTCTTTACTGGTTACATATTCTTTTTATGTTTTTTTAGGTAAATGATGACACAGTTTGGAGAGAGTCTTTGAATAAGTTTTTACATAGCTGGAGTTCTATTGTTCATGACACAGATGGCTATTCCGCAGAGACATTGCAGAATCCTTGTATTGAAATATTTAATACTTACTTACAATGTAGACTAGCACCTCCTGATGGTACTAGGTAATATTTTAATTATTTTAGTATATTCATAATGCTCTTGTCATACTTTTTGTAAGGTTACTTTAAATTTTTCCTATTTTTGATTGTGAATATAAAAACATATTTATAAATCATAGTGCATATGCACTACCATGCCAAAAGAGTGATAATTTTTTGATTTTTATGTTAATTTATAGTTAAGAATGTCATACTCCACCAAGGGTCTATTTAAATTGTATCATCCTTAAAAAACTACTATGTATTTTTAGTTTTTTAGGTGCGAATTTAAGGTAGTTTTATATTATGTATATTTTTTTATCAGAGGTGCAGAAAATCCTGAAGAAGACATCAAAGACGAATTAGAAGAAGATGAACGAAAACTACATAGTAACATACTGTTAACAATTGGAGCTATTGCCAGGAAAGCACCAGCACATTGCTGTCATCTCTTACTAACACTGCTTCAAGATAGAAGCAAGAGGTATGTGGCTTAGAAACCAGATGTTTTGGAAAGTTACTACCACTTTTATATTTTCAATTTTATCAAATTATATGTGACCTCTGAATGTTTTAGTTTCAATTAGAATTCATTTTTGTTATATACTGTTTGTTATTTTAGGTTAGTTTAAAAGTTTTTTAGTTTCAAAATATTTAAACTAACCTAAAATAACTAATTAACAGTGTATACAATAACATTGAATAATATACTTAAATTCACATGGAACAAGTAATAATTAGATTATTATTGTTGTTTATTTAGACTCGAGTCTCAATTACAATTGATGCATATGGGCAAACTGCCGGTAAGCAGTGGAGGAGAACTAATCAACTTGTTTGAAGATCTACATTGGATCTTGATGATAACTGGTAGGTATATTAAAGTAATCATGATGCAGTGTACAAATTTGAATGTTTCAATAGTCTAACTGCTATGGCATTCCGATCAGTTCCATTTCCACGTAAACAAGCATTTGTATTAATAGATTTATTCGTATTTATCTGTGTGTTTTATATTTATAGTGTGTACATAAAAAAAATTGTGTCTATTAATTGTCTAGTACCCATAGTACACATTCTATAGTTGCCATGCATGCGGTTCCCCCTGGTAACAATCGTTTATAAATTGAACGTGAATTTGTCATGATGATGAATTCTTCTTATCATCATCCACTGGTGATGGATCCACCAGGGGATTACACTATTCCATTATCAAAAAAATCTACAGTACATGAACAGTATCAAGAGATCACGAAATATACTATGTACACCTGTAGTAGTAGGGTTTACATACCACCTATCAAGGGTTTCTAATTTGGCCGTAAAGAATTTTAAATTTAAGATAAAAATTATACAGCACGCAAGTTTTAGAATAAAATATTAATAATGTTTAGTAATTTATTCATATTGAATAACCTTTAACTTTTGTCGGTAACATATGCATAGAGGTAATACGAGAATGTGTATAATTCATTATGAACAAGCTGTGCCCGCGGTTTCATCCTTTTAAAATTTATAGCCTATGTGTATAAGCTATATTACTCTGAAGTTTCATAAAAATCCGTTCAGTAGTTTTTGCGTAAAAGAGTATATAACAACCATCTATCTATCTATACTCACTAATTTTTTCGTTTATAATATTAATAATAAGATGTGAAATGTGAACAGAAATATACGTATGCTTAAACAAATAATGTAATTGTATTATTGTACATATGAATTTGTTCATGACACATCTGAATATTAATGATTAAATGCCATTATACGATCATTTGTTAGTTTATCAGAAAGGAAGTTATTGGTTTAACTCGTTTATAAAATATGCTAATATGCCACTTAATTCAGCAATTTTCTCTCATCTATACCTATTCTGTCAAGGTTTAGGAATTAACCAATCGTGCTTCATGTTCGTAGTTTTCAATTGACTTAATTATTCGTCATTCTGAGTTTGATTTTCAGAGTTTATGTTAATTGCGAATATCTTCGTCTATGAGTCCATTTTTGATGTTTCTTTTTTATCCAGAGGGTTTCAAACCAAGACGAGGGTTTCATAACAAGATTTTAAAATACACACCTTTGTTGATTTTTTCGTATTATTTTAATAAAGTAACGTAAATGTCGATAGTAACAGAAGTCTTATTATTAGGGTACTTAATTTTTTTTGTGCTTACAATAACAAATAAAATACCATCTGATGGAAAACAACCGACCATGTCAGCTTTAATGAAAAACAACACTAACATCACTAAACTAAGTACATTGTCATTTCCTTTACTTGCAATTCTTAAGGAATATGGTGTAGAACCGTGAAGAAAAATCAAATTAGAGCAATCATCTTTTTTTTATTCAACCTTTGCCTTTATCTAACCTTGTTTTATTAACTGATACTTTTTGTAAATTAGTTCTGTCAACTATCAACTACTATGTCTATGAGGTCTGGATCGGAGGTTTTTAAGCATTTAGTACCACTAACTAAATATTATTATTAAGAGTATGTAATATTTTTTTTATACTTTCAGGTCATTTTCTAGCATTGGATTGTACAGAAGGTGAAACTATAATGATACCAGCTGAGATTATTTCATTTAGCATGAGACAGAACGCGCAAATCGACGCTTCGCTCAGATACTTAGTCGGCGAGAGTACCAATACTGAAAACGTTGATCCTATAATCAAGTAGGTGTTTATTATTTTGTGTCAACATAATTTAGTATAATCGCCAATATTTATTGTATGACGACGTCATGACAATATCGACTTCCTCTAATAACATCCTCTTTACTTGGGTAAATCTATCTAATGAAATATTATGATATTTACCCTATGGAGTTTTGCCACCAATGATCAAGAGTTAATAAACTGAAACTTTTTGGAATAGAAATAAAATTTTGAACTACTAGCTATGCCTGCGGTTTCACCCGCGTTAAATTTCAATAAAAAAATTAGCCCATGTGTTATTCTGATGCATGAGCATAAGCATAATATATAGTTTCATTAAAATCTTTTCAGTAGTTTTTGCGGGAAAGAGTAACAAACATCTATACTTACAAACTTTCGCGTTTATAATATTATCAAGATTAAGATAATGAAATATACCTTACTGAGTTTTACCACCGATAAAAAATGTTATAAAATTGTTAACAAATCGCTGATGAATAAAGTAATAGACGAAAGATTGCACATTGTACATAAAATGATTGTACCATGTTATCTCTTCTGCGCAAAGGAAAGATAAGGATCAAATCAGGTATAACTCACAACAGTGAGTTTTTTTATAACACTTGAGAATTGGGAATCAGCAACGACGGTTTCCAAGACTGCGTAGAGGCTGATCTGATACTAGCAGTTGCTACCAATAATCCCCTTCCTAGGCAACTGTTTACAGTTACATTATGTTTATATACAGTTATATATGTTTTGGACCTTGTATGTTATCCTACACAATTTTATATGGTTTCGGATGAATAAATAAAATAAAAATGAAACATATATAACTATTTTTACAGATTGATTGCAGAAATTCTACGCATAAGTGCGTGGGAATGTGCGGCATTGGAGGCTGGTCTCGGAACCGTATTCAGTCCAGAACTTTCTGCCACTATATCATGGCTTTTGAAAATTTGGGCGAATTCATACTTAATGGACCAGTCCTCTGTGTATTCTGAGGTAACTATGCACTTGATATTTTATGTAAAATTAATATGCTGGTATATTATCCGTAAGGTTTAATATAGATTTCAAGTGTTTATCGGGCGATTATTTCTCCTGTCTAGTTTTGTGGTTGCAAAAAACTAAGCGTCAAAATGTATCGTATGAATAGACTCTAATAACATAATTGAAGTATGCTTCGGAAACTGAAGAAGCGAAACGATAAAAGTATCATTTGTTCCAAAAATGGTGATCTTATTCATTTGAAAATTTGAATAACTTTAGTTAATAAGAAATATTGATATTTTTTAAGGCGATCCGTAGAGGGCTTTAGATTTGAAAAATAAATTAGTTTGTAGCTTGTATTAGAAGTATATACAGAAAAGTAAATATTCTTTGACCTTTGTTTCAATAGCTCAGTATGAATTCATAACATGTTTAAATAATATACCTCTTTGCTTCACTTACACAATGAATGAACATGTGATTTGAATCTTCAAGATCAACCTACACGATTATGTAGTCTTAACATCGATCTCATACTTTTCCATGTCTCTACATCTAACCCATATTATTATGATAATAGCTTATTGTAATATTGTATCTATGAATATGAGCATATGTAATACCTACCGACTTAGATTTTATACAATATGTAGGTAAAAATAAAAACGTGCCTGAACATGAATTCTTAAATATACCTATTGTTTACACAAGTTGTATTGATCTATGGTCAAGGTTAAATTATTTTTGTAGCCTAATATGTATTTTTCATGTCTGCATCATACTAACGTCATCAGATACAATCTTGTTCAAGATATTTTAATAACAATAAGTAAATGTTAAACCTACAAAAGAAATTTATTTCATGTTTCCGTTTCATAGTCTTTTGTTATAATTGTTTAATTACAATTCACTCAATAATTTATTACTAATACAAAAAATCTTCAGCAGATGTTTGGTATAACGACTACTTAACATTAAATTTGTTTACACTTAAATTAAATTTTAGTTTTATTTCTTTATATAAGTATAATGAAATCAATAGAAATAGATATACATTTAAGAACATAGTAACATAATTTTAAGCGTTACACAGACACTCTGTACATTAACAATAATCCAAAGACGATAAAAAGTAAATAAGTGACTTCTATACCTAGATATAATAAAAAAAATTCTGCATAAAGGAATACTCGTAAAGGATATATGAACATATATATCAAACCAGAATACAGGTTGAATACTAATTGATAACTGAACCACTTTCAGTTTCCATAATTTATTTTGAATATACCACTGTAGTTCTTGGGCAAATTTGTTCATAAGCATAATTACTATTGCAGCATTTTACTAAAAAAGTGTGGTCGAAATTGATGACCTCGGCGGTTTAGCGGTTTAGCACACTGTTTTACTTCCGCTGCTCGCTGGTTCGATTCTTTACAATGATTGTTTGTATCGGTCTGGGTATTATCTATGTATAATATGTATGTATCTACATAAAAATTTATTTCAGTTGTCTAGTACCCATAAGATAACCTCTACTTAATTTGAGAGTGGATGGCGCTGTGTCAATTGTTCTGGGTTATTATTTTTTTCTTGCAGTCGAAGTCTAATCAGAAGTGGTGAATATTTTTTAAATTAAATGAAATATTATTATATAAAATGTGGTAAATTGGGTGTGGTATTCTAAATTTTTAAATCTTGTTTCACATGTTTAGTCATTTCTAACATAAAACAGACAATTGTCAATTTGAATATTATCATCATCATATACTGCTTATCATTATATAAACAATATTACAAGCAATTAATTAATTACTAGCGACCCGTCCCGGCTTCACACTGTGTATCACAAGCAAAAGCATGTATTATACACATAAATCTTCCTCTTGAATCACTTAATCTATTGCTGAAAACTGTATTAAAATCCGATGCGTAATTTAAAAAGTATAAGAAAACAGACAACGACGGCGACTTTCTTTTATACTATACTAGTTACTCGCCCCGGCCTCGCCTGAGTGTACATGTATTATACATATAAACCTTGTTTCACTATCTGTTAAGAATCCGTTGCGTAGTTTTGAAGATTTAAGCATACATAGGGACGGATAGACAGCGACAGCGACTTTGTTTTATACTATGTCATGAAGAATAATAAGTTTATTATGCAAAAAACTAAATTTCTATACCCAGTAGGTATGTATATTTAATACTATATAAAGATACAGTCACTTTTGGGAACATATTTTTAACCTGGTATATGTAGTAATCTGTGGTAACGTAAAGTAATGTGTACGTAATGTAGATGTCAACGGTACTGGAATGCGCGTTTGGTGCGGGCTCGCGTGGGGCCGCGTGGGCGGTGTCTCGGCTGGCCGGTAGAGCGGCCGCATGCTTGAGATATCTGCCTGGACAGCCAGCCGCCGCCGATCATGCTGCGCGTCTACTTGCTACGCTTGCGCATCACCATCACAAGTAACTACCCATGGTTCTTGTGCTCTAGTTTAACGGGTCTATTTTTCATCGGTCGTAGCTTCAGTTCGCGCATTGGTATCAATTGCTGCCTTTACACGACACGATCAGGAGCGCGCTCTTTTACTTTCTTTTATAATTTTATTTTTATTCCACAGATTTTATTTGGCAATGATACGTTTAAGATTTATAAATTACTAGCTGACCAGCGCAACTTTGTCTGCGTTTCATTTCCCCACCTTTGCAATATTGTTCATTGCAGCTCCGCTCCTATTAATCGTAGCGTAATGTTATATAATTTAAAATAGGGATTCCCAAAGTGGTCGATATCGACTCCTTCAGGTTAATATCGGTTTCCTAGGACGACATAGTTTCTGGGGGTCGACGAGGTCTAAAAATCAACCCCTTTTAAATTAACACAAGTTCTTATTTAAACCTTTCAAGATAGGTAGGTACTGCGGTAATATGGCCATGGGGGTCTGAGGTAATAATTCATTTTGGAAAAAGGGGTCACTTCAAAAAGTTAAAGGTACAAAATAGTTTGGGGAGCCTTGGTTTAAAGCCTTCCTTGACAAATGGACTATCCAACACAAAAATATTTTTTCAATTCGAACCATAGTTCCTGATATTAGCGCGTTCAAACAAATAAACAAAATCTGATTTATAATATTAGTATAGATTATAGTAGATATCCGTCATTTGATTAATTATTTCTAAAACTCGCTCGATTAAACTGCGCGTTTTACATTTAGCAAAATATAATCTTTACAGAAAAAACCCGTTAGCAAGTTGTGAAGAATTCCTGGCGCTGGTAGCTTGGGAAGCATCTGGAAGCAACCTGCCAGGAGAACTGAGGAAAGAACTCCATAGGTCGTTTGCTGTAGCCGCTACTTACGCAGAAGGTATAACAAATAATATAAAATTAATATTTTAAGATTTTATATTTAAGATATTATTTCAGTGAAAAAAAAAATGAGTAGAATGAGAGAGTACAAAATGATTTTGTTTGTTACTGTAGAATCCCTAATATTCTTTTTATACATATTTCTTTCTCTTTGATTTCAAAACAATGTTATATTGTGAAAACCGTTGATGGGAGTTAATTCAGCCTTATTTACAATGATAACATTTTTTGTTTCTCTGTACTTATTTAATTATTGTATTTTTCTTTATTATTTAAATTAAATGTATGCTGTAAATGGTCTCTATTGCAGGTGAAGTCAGAAATCGTCTTTTAGCAAGTACTGTAGCATTGCAAGAGAAGCTAAATAACATAATCAATATGCAATCCGATACAGAGCCAGTGCGGAATATGTTGGCTGATACTTTGGACTGTTTTATTGGAATTACGGAAGGTGTCCATGAGGTGAGTATTTCTTAACCTACTTCATCAGCACCTTACCGCCTTGTTCTATTTTTACCATGAGTACATTGTAAAATGTCGTCTGCGTGGGTACCTCAGTCTCGCTTATTTTAGCCAAGCAGCTTGCTTTGTGTTTCGTTGCTAGGGCTGGATTAGGCAGTGAAATTACTCATTAGAGTATCCTGTAATTCCAGGACTATGACCTCATAGTCCGCCTGAAATGACATTACATGATATCGTGATGTCCGTAGTGTGAATATTATTATTATTATTATATATAAAGTGATATTATTGTAATTTAGCGATTACAAATGTTTCAATCTGTCTGCTTCAGAACATTTACGATCACTAAATTATTATTAATAGATTTACAATAAAAAAACATTTTTTATTAGTCGGAGACAAAAATTATAGCTTTTAATTCAGTTTTGATATTTTTTTTAGAAAAAAGAAAATATGTTTCTTTTTTAATTTATTCTTACAGGTTGGAGAACTGGACGAACAATTCTTGATGTTAATTGGTGCCTTAGATAAAATACCCGGAATCATATTTAGATACCATAACTACCCAGGCGTAGTGTTGCCAGCGTTGAATTTGCTCTCTAAAAGCGCGAAGCGGATGCTACATTCAGTACAAGCACAAAACGTCAATAAGTAAGTTGTTATTATAATGAAGTTTATTCTCCATAAAATTATCTATTTTCCTCTATAAACTTTTAAAATATTTCATTATCAACCTATTCAAATAGGGAGAGGTTATTAATTTTGAATTTCCGTTAAATACGTAAAATTTATAATAAGTTTCGTAATATTTTACTTTCTTGATCAGCAAGAATTGTCATGTTTTTTTTCAATGCATTATATATAGTATGGTTCACTCGCCTGCGTTATCAGTTTATGCTGGCGAGGCACAGTGGAGGATGATAGGATGAGCATGAGATCAGGTCAGTTACCTCATCGTGGTAAATTTACCGCATGGAGATCAACCAGATCAATGTGCCATACATTGGTAGCAATAGGTTCATCAGTCCACATTACTAACAATTCCATTCCCATAGAAATTCATATTAATCTATACAAAACTTTGTGTTTAAAACAAGTCTTTCGTATACTAACAAGTTTTCATTGATATAGCAAGCAACATGAGTCAAAAGGAATATTTTAGAATTTAGCATTTTAAAAATCTGCCATTGCAGATATATTAAAAATTAGTTGAGTATGTAACAACAATCTTATTTCACAGAGTATTCATTACCAACAAAACGTTTAACCTACATGGTTAACATGGTTAAACGCTTTGTTGTAATATAGCTCGCTAGTCTGTAATATAGCACTCATTAAAAAACATTTCATTTTTGTAATAAATCTTGTCATTTATTTTAGATTTCTAGAAATATGCAATACAACTTTTGAAGTGTACATAAGATGGAATTCAGGCAAGATCTCTGGCGTGCCACAAGACGCCGAGGAAGAAGCGTATGAGGTATGAAATAATATTCTCTTACTGAAAAAATACCGAAATATCTCTCGCCCTCCTACGATTCTTAGATTTTGTGACTATACATTTTAATTCTAAAAAATTGCTATTGATATGTGTGGGGGTAAAATGTCTGATATTGGTGTCATGAAATAACCCCTTAATTACTAAACAATTTTTTAGGATGTTATTTTATCTTCAGCAAACTACTGAACGGATTTCAATGAAAATAAGCACAGTAATAAATGATATTTTAGAGAACAATATAATATTTACTTTTAGTTTATATGTATAGATTATACATAATTACATTATTTGTAACTTCGTCATCCATTATGCTATTATGTGATTATCCTGTTTAAATTAGATTGTTTAACTGTGATTTTTTATATATATATATATATATATATATATATATATATATATATATATATATATATATATATATATATATATATATATATATATATATATATATATATATATATATATATATATATATATATATATATATATATATATATATATATATATATATATATATATATATATATATATATATATATATATATATATATATATATATATATATATATATATATATATATATATATATATATATATATATATATATATATATATATATATATATATATATATATATATATATATATATATATATATATATATATATATATATATATATATATATATATATATATATATATATATATATATATATATTTTTTATATATGTATGACTAAACTGTACTACTGAGTTTATGCACTACATTGTGTTCGTGAAATTTATAGAGCCAATATTTTGTATTATGTAATTCTATTTTGTTACCATTTAAAACTATTTTCTTTTCAACCAACTTTACGTAAGACGATTCTTTGCCCCAGTGGCATGTACGCTCTTAATTGTTGATTCCAGGATATCTGTGCTTTGATGGAACTGATCTGCTGTATAGCGCGCAGTGGTTCCGAGCGAGGCGTAGGAGACACGTGTGCACGGGGACTTCGTATCTTGTTACCTTTAATAACTCCTCCGCTGCTTGCGTTGCCTACATTGGCACTCCATGCCTATAGAATGTTACGAGATTTAGATTCTGCAGATCAGGTTTGTCTTTCGTTTACGTAACTAGAATGTCGAAAGGGGGCAAATTGGTTGTGGCTAAAAGTATAATCCTTCACATTTAAAGATAGTGTTCTTGTTGCTAAGTAACAGTTATGTCTTACGAGTAACTGTGATTAATACTAGAATAAATTGTATTTACTGCACTAAATATCTCCATCAGATTATGCCCCTTGATGGTAAGTGGGAACCTTCTTTGCGACCATGTAAGCTTCAAAATAAAACAGCTTGCCAGCTGAAATAGGTGAGACCATGCAGACGATTTTGTACTAAGTCCACCCTGGTCTACTACCATTTCATATCTTGTGTCCTCCAAGCTGCAGGCTGAGATTTTTTTAGCGATACGCCTTTTGTTGAGAACATTGTTTTTGTACTTCTTTTCATGGGAGAAAGAGAAATATATTCGGCGTAATAAGAAAATCATAGACATTCGAGTATCATAATTATTACCTGTTGAAATACTGATGAGTAGAAATTTTGTAATTTATTAATTGTAATGCAATGTTATGGTGTTGCCAGTGCAATGATGGAGATGAAAGGTGATCATAATAATTCTAGGACGGAAACCTCACTAAGATTACGTTAACTTGATTACTTTGCTGATACACATGTTAAAGACAAGTCATAATATATAACAGCTTTTTTAATGTTAAGCAATCAATATACGTATGAATATATCAATGTCTAATATATTTAAGCTATAATGTTTTATTATTTTCAGATCACAAATTTACCTATCGAAGACTTCAATATGGTTGTAACAGCATTACGAGTCGGTCTTACAGCCGTATCGTGCGACGTGTCAACCCTATGCTGCGACACTATTGTAGGACTATCAAATAAAGCCCGACAATTAGGCGAGGATAATCCATATTCTCTATCATTGTTAACCCTCGCTGAGCTATTGCTAATGCTGATTATTAAAATGGAAATACCACCAGATTCGATACCGGCCGCTGGTGCAGCGATATACGCATTGACATGTGTAAAACCGGCCTTACTAGAAGGACTGGCGAGACAGCTGATCGAAGCGTTCGCGGCCAACGATCCCGCCAACGTACCTAGATTAGAGGAAGCGTTCGGTGTACTCACGAATGGTGTACTTTTCGACGGTCTCAGGCCTCATAAAATAAGATTTCAGGACAATTTCGACAAGTTTTTAGCTAGTGTCCATGGCTTTTTAATTGTAAAGTAAATATATTCATATTTCTATGGCACTGGGACTGTCTTATGATTGTCGGATCTGAAAAGCTTTTAACCAAATAGCGATTGCAGTGGTGGTATTAATAAAAAAATTTGAATAACGTTTTGCGTCGTCTTCTGTCTCGCTTTCGCCACAATAATTGTGTAACTGAGAATTTATTTTATAACATCATCATAATTGGTAGCTATAGTTTATTATAATAAGCCATTAACTTTCAAGTATGTCTTCTTTAAGGTCGAATTTATTGATATCAATTTTGCATTCACAGTGCAATCTCTATTTGATTAAAAGCTTCTTGCATGGATCACACCAAAAATTTATTTGAAAGACTGACGATGAAGAATGAAGGAGCTTGCTGACGTTTTGGAAATTATAATCAATTAGTGAGTATTATTAATTTTAATATTATGAACTCTTAATATTATGTCTGTATAAGAGATTTAGTTGAGATGCGTGTCCGCGCGGCAGGACATTTGCTTCGAGATGTATGGTTAGGGACAAATTCTATTGCTCTCTAAAACAGCTTTTGTTAATGACTAAAAATACTAATGTATAGTCAATGATATGAACATATTACAATTCGATTACCTTCTAAAGAAAATCAATGTGTTTATTCAATTGTTGACTACAGAATCTACTGTTATGTATAAGAACTGAACTGCTCATGGAAGCTATAAATAATGTCTTTATAATTGTTAAGAATTAAAAATGTACTTAGATATTTTGGAATGGTCAGGAGATTGATGGGTGCTTTTACATGGGCAATTTAAATTACGAAATCATGATATCATGTATGAAATTGTTACTAGAAATTGTTTGTTTGTACTACTTTATTGTACAATAAATAAAAAAAAAAAGACTCAATTCACTTATACGATAAATGCGTACAATAGCGGACTTATCCCAAAAGAAGGATTTTATCCAGTCAACCTTTACGTGACTGAGAATTGTGGAGTAGTGGAAATAATTGACTTGGAGATCGGTTGATAGCTGTTGGCTAGTTACTCCCATGTAAGCGCACCTTTGTACAGTCGTCTTATAAGTCCTTTTACAGGCTATTAATACTAAAAATGCTAGAATTGTAAGTCGCGTTTAATGTATGTAATGAGTGATATACCATTTAATTGTTGTGGCTTACACAAAGGCCTAATGTTAACAGGGTGCTTCACTCCATTGTAATCACTAGATATCCTTATCTTCCTTCAAAAAAAATAATATGCAGTTTTTAGTCTGCTATTATAAAATGAAATACTCCAATATTTTTTGTTGTGCGATCTATGGTTGCTGTTAAAGCGTATCATGCAGATCATCGTAGTTATTCCAAAATTTAATTTTCCAGAACATATGTATATTCCAAAATTAAAATAACATGCGGTCGCCAAACATGACACCGTTGTATAGATATTTTCCGGTTTTATTATGATAATTTTTGTTCTAAAACTGTATGTGCACTTTTGAAACTTACATAAACATATTTATATTTGTATGTGTGTTCTTGTATCCACTTCCATTTTATAAGGATTGCAGTGGTTTTCACATAACCAACGTATATACTATCTACATACTAATGAATATTTCATTTAGTTGTAAATTGCAAATATCTTATGTTAACAACGAAAGAATGAACAGGCATACTGTTTTTACGGTTGTGAATGTATGAAGTGAAGAATCGGCAGATTTACTGTGGTATTACATTTTCTAGATTAGGTAATGTAAAGTACATTGAGTACACAGCTAGTTAGAAAAATTGTGATTTCATACTAGTTGTATGTAAATTTATTTAGTTCTCAAATTATATTAGGAGAGTGCATAATTATATCAAATTACCTTTACGCCATGTTAATGAGTAATCACTATTAATAAGTAATATTTATTGCAGTCTGTATCTTTTAAATTAGACTAAAATTTTGTCTTTTTGTATTTGTCCTTTCAAAGTTTCACTTCCGCTATTAGATTTTTATGCGCCATTTTTTCTTAATCATCTTTAGATCTCGAATAAGTTTAGGCATAGATACCGCCTATATTGAATGTTATATTTATTAACAATAGCAAATAATGGAGCACATATAGATATAGATATTTAATGAGGACTGTCATTTTCTATTCCTTTTAATATTGATTTCAATGGGCGTCTTAGAATTGTACTTGTGAAGATATAGTTCCTGACATAAATTATTTATAACTATTTTTACCTATTTGCTTCTTTTATGTACAAACGTCTGTGCATCTTTAGTTGTAATTTGCCGACCTGGCAATTGGTTAAAATCGAAAATAAGCCTTAATTCTATATTCTTATAAGTTCAGTTTACATTTGATTATTTTAATATACAATTTTTTAAATAAACAATATTATGAATATATAATACTATTTTAAATAGATTAATGTTTTAATAATTGTTTACTTATGTGACTATTTTTTTTCTATATCAAATAATTGACAAATATTCATAAACACTTATAATTACAATCTTTTGAACCTCACAATAATATCAGCATACTTAATTACCAGTAATCTCATACTTAATAATGCAGAACATATTTATTATACTTTAATTTGAATTGTATACAATTAACAATTATTAAATTAATTTAATACTCGTAAAAATATTCATATAGAAGTAGGTAAGGACACATCGTTTGTTTAAACTTTAATAAGTTACTATTTTTTACATAGTTTTTGAATTATATAAATAATTGTCATTACGTATATTCTATGCTTCAGTTTGGAATTGTTATTTGGTTCAAATATTGTTATGTAAATATATATGTGTATAATCGTTAATTCTGCAATATTATTATTACGGGTGTAATAACAAAATAGAAATTGTGGGTATTATCATGAAAATGGCATATTATTGTTGTCGAACAAAAATACAGCATATAATCTGTATTAAAATAAATATGTACGAACTTGATACTATCTTGTAAAAATATTATGGATGATAACTCACATTCAAAGTGAAATCTATTTAGCCAGTAATCTGAAATATTGTAATCTTAGATTTTTTCGTAAATACCGTGACTAAGAACAGTACTAGAGGGTAAAAGACTACGACGTGATTCACAGTGTTTTTCATTCGTATTTTACTAATCCCTATTTCGAGATTTTAGCTGAAGTGTCTATCTGTAATCTTCTGTAGCAATATAAAATTAAAGTACCCTCTCTTACACTATGGTTTATCGGGAAATATGCGAAAAACGTTAAGCATAAATGGAATCACTTCACAGAAATTACATCAGTTATGTAAGGTCTCCATAGATAATATTGATCCTCCATAGATGATCTGATTTACAGAGATGTGAAATTGACACAATTTCGTTAATTGTAAAATAATAAATAATTATAGATTCTTTACTTATAGTAGTTACATTTGTATGAATGTAAACTATTTACTTATCAAACTTTATTCACATAATAATGTAGTCTATTGCTATAATCTGTATTCAGTTCACACGTAATAAATAAGCAAACACTATTTTTATGGTATCCAATGAACTTCAAGTTTGCTTATAAATGTATAAGGCTACAAAACATAAGTATATTTCAATATATTATATTATTATGCAGTTTCTTTTTTTTGTAACGTACATTGCGCACCAAATACATAACTAGTTTAGCTTGATTTTGAATAATAACAAGCTACAATAGCGAATAACTCTGTTTCCATTCTATCGAGCCATTGTTAATATGTTATGGTGTACTAGTACACTATCTATTAGAATTTTGAAGTCATAAAAAAGGTTTTCTTTTATAAATTCGCTTATGGTCCGTCCGCCCGAGTTGAAATTGTTGCAACAGTTGTTCTCACTTGTATTGCGTGTATGTAGGAGTATTTGTACTATCAGCATAATTTTATATTAAGTTAAGAGTTTTGTAACATATATTTTATTTCGTTAATGTATTCTGAATTCATGACGATATATCTGCTAATATTGTGCAGAGAGAGGGTAAATTATGGAAATGATGAGCATGGCGTTTTAACGAATTTATGCCATTGGCTAATAGGTAATTGCTGTGTCGTAATGGTGCAAAGTGCAGCTAGTCTAATGTGAGAAGAAAACTACTTTTTTCTCAATTATTCTTTTGCAGACTGGCTAAATGTCAGCTTGCCAAAACTTATATTATTTAGGTAGTAATCTGCTTTTATTTTGTATACTGTAATAACCCTTAATAATGTAATCAATGCACGCTTTTGTATATGTGCTTTCAGTTTTAAGAAATTTGAAAGTGTTACTTTCGAACCCATGTCGTGCTGCGTCAAATGTTATTTGGTGCGTATTGTATATATATTTCGTTATTCGGTCACTTGTATATAAAAACTAACGTTCGTTGACACATTTTGAAAATCTATTACGATACACTTTTTATGAGTAGGTAAATAAATTATATAATGTCTGTACTTATCTGAATAAACTGTACAAATTTTATAAGCTACACTGATGTTTACTTTCATTCGTTCGCAATTATTTTCGCACTGTTGATAATGGAATATTGCACCCGTACATTGCTAGCAGTGTGGTCATCAGTCCACATTACTAACAATCTCTTTCCAACTATTTTTAAGGGGTTTTAGCTAAGGGCTAATAGGGACAGGAGGAAAGGTCACTTGTTATCTTCGGCAGAGGGATGGGATTATATAAAGGTCAGAGTGAACACGACAGTGTCACCCATCCCTTGGACTAAACAGTGTTTTGTATATATTTTTATAATCCAAGGAGGATTATGAAAATATATATAAAACACATTCATCTTGAAGTATTGCACTTACATATAAACTTATGCTACTTTGTTTCTCTTCCTCGGTGGTCATTTACATAAATACACTTTTGCCCGTTTACTTATCAAATTTTAAAACAAAGTCAAGTCAGTACGACAGTCCAATGTCAATCGTTTGTCATTCCTTAAGTCATTGTATAATCGCAGTGTTTTGACTTTTATATATTTTTAATTTATTGTACTTCTTTATTCCTGGACTTTGAATTCATTATATTTTAATTACAGTCCAAGTTTCCCTCAGTTAATAGTGACTTTATATTAAATACAAAGCCTGTGAACTTATACCGATAACGGCTATAAGGAATTGGTGTTACTCACCGGTGTTAAGGTGTTATTTGTTGTTTTAAATCCACGCACGGCAATTGTTTTGTAAGCCAGGATTACATACCACGTAATACAAATGCCTTTGTTTTCTATTTAAACCGTGTTTATCACGTATATATTGTTCTTAAATCTAACTACGAGAAAATGAATATTTACAAACACAATTCATCTGTCAACTCATCGGTGGCTTCATCACAACTAAGCACTTATGAAGATACTGATATAGTTAAAATAAAAAATTATATTAAGGACCTATTCAAGTCGAGAATTTTCTTAGGTCGATATATAGAGAGAAGATTAGTAGACCAGCGGATAGGTTATCGGGATGTTGTCCTAATAAGTGCTGCAGAAACTGAGTTAAAAAGAGATTTGCTAGAAGGACTGCACAAGTTACGTCTTGTTTGTGGTTCTCACTGGATTGGTATTACAGACACAGAAGGACTGGGTTCATCTGGAATTCACTTATGGACAGAAATAGAAAATCAACCATTTGGACCTTTCTGGTTTCAAATTAAAACAATAAAATTCAGAGAACATGAAGTTATTGTTTTACTCAAGTGCATTAGGCATATATCTGATGCCTTTCTGGAATTAGAGCCCATATTAGCTGGTGGTATCAAGAAACAGAAAGAAGGAACTGACAATACATCTGATAATATTCCACTAAGTGATACTTATAAAGAGATTGTTCATAATTTGAAAAGTGCTCTTTCAATAACCAATGTTAAAGAATTCTTTACATTTTTGTTTGCATTTTTAATTGCCATATTTACTGGGAGTACAGCATTTGTTAACTTTCTTGGTAATTTTGTGTTAGCACTAATAAGGGAAATGTCTATATTGGTTAAAAATTCAACACCTATGTTTTTAGGTTTGTTAGATTTTTTTAGTAAGATAGTTGGTGGTTTTTATATATTACTAGCAATGTTTTTTAAACCAAATAATCCTATTCCAACCAACAAAAGATATATTGCATATAACAGACAACAAAGGCCTAACTATTATGGTAATCAACAGTATGATGATAGGAACTTTGATTAAGAATAAAAAAATATTTGATTATATTTATATAACATATACCAAAGTATGTGTGATTTAAAACTAACTCGCATTTTCATATCGATTTTATGATTGGGCTATTTATTAGTATAGAACTGTGAAGAACTTTATAGACTTATGAAGTTTACATATTTATCAATCATTATTAGTTGCAGTATGGTAGCTGCCTTTCCCTGTTGTTGAAAGACATTCCTGATTCCATTGCATTTGTTTTTAATACCTTAATTATTATATGTAATACACACTATATCTTAGTTACTATAATAATACATTATTAACACTGTCCTCAACAGTTAATATTTGCAAAATTTGCACAGCTTTACATGTTATTAAATTACCTATTGGTATGTTCTTTTTGATAAATACAGAAATTTATTTATTTTTATATTTCATGCTACAAAACGAAAATACTTGTGTATTCAATATTAATATTATTTAATTTAAAATAAATTACACAATAAATAATATGAATTCAAGAGTTGTCAGAGTTTTTATATGGGGTTATAATTTGTGTTTGTAAAATTTGTTTAGTTGGTTAATTTATATCATTGTATGTCTATATTATTGTGTTTTATACAAATATTTTATAAAGAGATTATACTATTTTTACCACAGTTCAACTAATTTTATTTTTTTAGGTACAACTATAACAGAATGTTGTATATCTGTAACAATATGATAATTGCATACTGCATGCAATACTTTCAGTAGATACAGAAACATCTTACCTATAGATAAGTTAAATTGTAACTTTGCTGAACTTTCGAGATTTATTAAGTGACCCTGGAGGCTTTCAATTTGTCACTGAAAACATATACATATATTTTAGTTATCACTGTTCTTACAAATAATAACTAATAAGATGGTTTTAGCATATAAAAACAAATTGAAACCTTTGCGTTTCGATGGCTGGCGATGTTTGTTTGGAGAAAGTCCTAACTTCGATTTATTGTTCTTCCTTATATATTTCTTTAAAGGTATTTGATTAAATACATTTTTCATTTTAATAGGCTAAAAATAAAAGAATTCTTAATTATAGAAGAAATATACTGACTACATACAAAATTATAATTCTAGTTACATGGTTAGATTAATTACAGTTACCTCTGTGGCAGTATCAGCAATAATCATTGTTGCAGGTGATTCTGATCTTGTTTCCTTCGTTAGATTATTGGAAACAATATTATTCAAAATATTTGTTACTATTATATTCATCCCACTATTATCATATTCAATAAGCATATTTTTAAATAAATTTAAAATCGCTGGTATTAACTGTGTCAGTTCTTCATCACTGTCTTTTTGGCTCAGTTTTTTCAATAAGTCCAAATGAGTAAACACTTCATCTAATGTCATATACTCTCTATATTCCACTAATGCATTAACTATTTTATTTGTTAAAGCTAAAAACACATACATTTGAGGAAGTAACATTACAAGATTATGACTTTAATACATATTATCTTTATTACCTACATATTTAATATTCCAATTTGAAGATCCTGTAAGTAATTAATCAGTGTATATTGGTGTAATCTTTAGTCTTCTACTATTTGTTTGTATTGCAACATGTTGATAGTTAATTCTATCTTTGCATGGCTTTACATATTGACTTCTAATAAACATCTTGTGATTACCTTGATCTACTGGTTTGCAGTAGTATGTTATATTTACATGCTGATCTAATGGAGGATGCAATACGTTCAAAGTAGCATTTAAAGTCTCTGTTGTGTCAAAGTCTAATTTAGAAGCCTTTTTCCTCAACAGTTTTTTAATGTCATTTGTTATTTTTGAACTGAAGTTAAGGTACCTCCTACCTTCTTCAAGTTGAGCAAGTTTATACAATAATTTTGCTGCTAATGCCTGTGAAAACATGTGAAAACATCCTTAGTATTAAATATTCATAGTTCATACAACACCAAGAATAACAGATTTAATACAACTGAGTAAATATTAAATGTACATACTTGTGTCATTGTATCTCCATAGTTTTGATATTTACATGGCCAAGATACACATATAGTAACAATTGAATGATTATCAAAAACATTACACATATCTGTATAGGCACAGCCTTGAGTTATTTCAACTTTTTCACTGTGAATAGTCTCTCGTAAACCCTACAGCAAAAATACTTATAAAATAATGTTTTAATTTTATAGGAATAATAATAATAATCATCTCAGGACAATTCACACAGCGCCATTTAGACCCAAGTTAAGGCAGCTAAAGCTTGTGTTATAGGTACTAGATAACTGATACAAATACATACCTAGATACATTTTTTTTTCTTAAATACATACATATTATACATAGAAAACACCCAGACCGATACAAACAATCACACTCATGAATACAAATGTTTGTGCCGTGCAAGGAATTAAAATAGCGACCATCTGACCTAAAGCTGAGTGTGTTAAACCGCTAGACCACCAAGGTAGTCAAATATGAAAGTGTTAAATATGCCCACATACTTCATTTAAAAACATCAACGCCTTGTTAGTGTAACCTCCATTCATATATAGAAACTTTTTAAGGATTCTCATATTTTTTATTATTTCACCTATATTGCTTGTGAAATATTTTGTATTTTCATTGAAATGTATTATGAAATCATTATATTCATATCGGTTTAAACAATGGCATTTTCTTGTCAGTCTTTTATAAATAGAACAGTCATCATCTTGATCCTAAAAAATCACAATAATTTTAGACAAATAACCTAATTATATCTTTTTCCTAAAACAACAATATGAATAAACAGTATTTAATAACATTTCTAATTTATATTTACAGTACAAATAGCAAAAATTAAAAATGATTGAACAATTAAAGCACATATTATTTACCTGAATGTAAATTGCATCTAAGGCTTTTGTCTGTTTTTCTAATGCAACCAACTCTCCTGTACCTATATTATTTATGGCTGAAGGAAGCTAGTAAAATGAAATAATTTTTTTAGTAAAAAATAATCATAACATAAGTATCTATATGTACCTAATGTATTGTTTTGATCCAATGTTAAAAATAATATATATAATAATATGGCATATAATAATATATGCGATTTCCATTCCCTCTGGCTACCCCAATTAAATATGGGTATATAAAAATAATATTTCTGTAACTTTAATAACAGGTATTGATATAAAAATAAAAACAATAACATACTGAATTAGTTGGTGGAATTGGTTTCAATATTCTTACTATACTGTTATTAGGAATATTACATTTTGAATGAGTTTTTGATTGTATCTCTTCAAGTAAACATAAAAGTTTTCTGGTACTTTCTTTTAATTTCAGAATAGAATCCTGATAAAGTATAAGAGTTTGATTATTAACACACTGTACAATATATACAATATATATAATTTATATTATGTGACAAAAAAACAGTTTAACGCACCGATGTAAGATGCCAACATGGGTCAGGAGTATCTATCGATTGAAACCAATTTGTTTGTTTATTGTTATTACAAGTTTTTGCAAATGAGGAACTCTCAGTGGCTCTCTTTGGTGATTTTGATGATAGGGTTCTTGTTCGTGCTTCTGATATATCTGTTAGCTTTTTACTATCGCATTCTACAATCTGATGCCTACTTAAAAAGTTTCGTAATTCTTTATTAAAGGAAGCTTGTGCTCGTTCCGGTGAATTTGTTTCGATATATGTACTACTTGAGGTAGAGATAGATACATTATCTTGCTCATAGATCGACGTATTATCCATGTGATATATTTTTAAAATATATTTGTGTGGATTACATGTTATTCAGTTTTGTAAAATTGAAGCTAAAGAAATGAACAAAGATAGATATTAATAGACTTGTCCTTTATAGGTATATATATAACACAATCAAATAAATTAAAACAAATACATTTTGGCAATATCTGAATTTTTGAATTTTGTAAACTTTTTATATTTGTCTAATGAGTAATACCAACCACAGAATAAAAGGAAGTATTAATGTCAAATTGTCATTATCTTCGGAACGTTGCCTAAAGGGACCACTTTTAATAATATATTTTAGTTATTATATTCTATTTTTTTTTTTTTAAGCTTTTTATTTTAGTTCTTAGTTGTACAATTAGGTTATGTAAATACTAGTTATATAATTGTCATTGCAAAGCATTTTTAATCAATATCGATAATCATAGAGTACTTTAGCTGAAATGCTCAGAATTTTCTTTGTTTTCTATTACTGATTATGTAGTCTGTGACAATAACTACATTTTTTACAAACATAAACAATGATAGTTTAAAGTTTTATGAAAAAGTAAAAGAAAAACCGATTACTGACTGCAGCAAATACATTTTAATAAATAAATAAATGTTAGAGAAATGAATAAATATCAAACTAAAAGTAATTATGAAAGTCCATGTGATTCTGATAACGATTGGACTAATTCATCCAATGGTTCTAAATATTCCGACTCTGAAAGGTAACTATAGTATTTTAATTATTCCAGAAACCACGTTCTTGTATAATTCCCGTCACTGCTGAACATAGCCTTTTCGTATAAATTGACATAGAACGTTTTGAATCATAAGGCAATATTGTAAACCAATATTCAGAAACCAGTATTAGTAAAGGGTTTTCTAAACTACCATATAAGAAACTTTTCTCTATGAGGTCTCCATATAATCAGATGAACTCAGAAACTTTAGTGATTAACTAGTTACTCGCGTCTTCGTGTAATATATTATTTTATTAATATTTATAAAATTGAAGTAGTCTAAGTTACCCCTTATAGCATTAGTTATACGCGAGTAAAGGTCCCGTCAAAATTGGTCCAACCGTTTCAGACATTAGCAAGAAGAAATAATAATAAAATTTAAATTTTATTTTTTAATGCAATTCAGTGCTGTATGTATTTTAATATGCATTTTGTGAAAAGCTTTTAATTTAAAACTTACAAGACAAGACTTTTCACTTCACTGCAAAAAACTTTTACTTTTTTAGTAAATTTTCAAATGAATGTGATTTTATATTAAATGTAAAATTTATATTGGTGTACCTTCTATCTGTAAAACAATATAGGGAATAGAGTAGATATGTTATCAATTTAGATTGAATCTAGATATTTTCTTCTTATTTTTAGTTCTGTACCAGAATGGGATTCTGATGTATGTGAAGATGGTGAGCTAGTTTATATAAAAACTAAATTAAACAACACTGCAGAGGAGACAAATGCTCCATTGTTAGAAAACTGTGAAGCATTCAAATTGAGAAACAATTTTAGGAGATCATCCACAAGACGATCCACAAAGGGTAATTTTTTTTAACCATTTTTTTTATCCTCATAGGGAAGCAGAGAAAATCTAATTAGTGTAAATTATGTTTAGTTAGTACATATAATAAATTGAGAAAATAAATAAGTATATGAATTTGAGGAAAAAACCAGATATGCAACATACTAAATTTGGTTCATATTTTGTATATATTTATTTATTGCGTTGACTGCCTATGACAAACAAATCAAATTATCAATAATTTGCAATTAAAAATACTTTATAACAAGCTAAGGAATTACAATGAAGTACAATGATATTTTGGAAAAATATGATGACACAAGACCGGCCATTTACCTATTACTGATTTAATTTTAATTGTTCCAGGTAGAATATTTAAGGTTCTAAAAGCACGTAAAAGTAAAAATGTGGATAATTCTAGTAAAAAAAAACAAGTTACTCTACAATCTGATTCTGTAAAAAGATTAGAAGATGATAAAACTGTAGTTATTCAGGTAACACATGTTAACATAAAAATGGGTATAATTATTAAATTAAATTGGGAATATTACTTTTAATCTGTATCATATTTTTAGGTCAGCAGAAACATGATATTTAATAGTGAAAAGAATTGCCAAATAGAGAAATTATTTGGGTTAAGTTTAGCTACACATCCTGATGGGAAAACATTAATAGTAGAAGATCTTTTGGTAGAAGCATATGCTATTTATACTCCAAGAGTAAAAAAAGGATATTATTTACAGAAAGTAAATGGAATTGAAGTAAACCTATATAATATCAATAATGTTCTACAAAGAATTACTGAAGATCCATATAACCCAAAATTAACATTTGTAGTACCTAAGGGAGATATAAATGTAGATATGATTCGGTTGTTGACCACTAAAAATATAGACAATTCCACTATACAGCTACTAAGAGATTTTATGTGTTCTGTTTTATACATTTGTTGTAATGATATAGAAAGTCATAATAATGATGATAAGGGTGTACTTTATTGTTACCCGAGGCCTTACAATCAAAATTTTTTATATAACACTAGAGGTGCTTATGTTACTCTTTGCCATCTCGCTTCTAAGTCTTTAGGTACAAGTGAACCAACAACTTCTACAGTTCTACATAATGATACCCTCATAAATGTTGTATACACTACACACTATAATGATTTGTTATTGATTGCATTTCCCAACAAGCACTTAGATTTATTTGCAGCAAAAAGAGTGGTAACTTACATAATTGGAATGTTAGAATTTTTATATGGTTCATTGAAGTTGTGTTTTACAAAGCCCAATAATGTTGATAAGTTAGATGGCATATTCTGTCGAATATTTGTGTCATTTTTGTTTACTAATAATAAACAAGATATAGCTGATAATGTTGATGCTAGTACAGGTAGAATTGAAGATTTATTGGGGGCACATGCAGTAACATTGCCTTTAGATGTAAGAGTGCAAATTGACGACGCAATTACAGAACTGGAAGCAGCGGATTATCGTGAATGGGTATACATTGATTTGTTATTTAAAAAAAATTAGGCATACTTGTAGACAGAGTTTAACCTATGTTAAATTGGCGTGTGGTGTCGCCGTAAGAATAGCACCACCCCCTCTCTTCCCGTGGGTGTCGTAAAAGGCGACTAAGGGATTCTTCGACCAGTGGACGGGCAGCAGCGTTCTACTGAGTAAATACCATCACACACACACAAATGGATTTACACCCAAGGCCGGGGCCCCCCGTCCCCGGCGGCCCCGCTAGTCTTGACCATGGTAGCGGTCATGGAAACGGCGGGGCAGGGGGTGCGAAGAATCTCCGGGTAAGACCAGGCTACCACAAACGACGACCACTGGCCCTGGCAACATATAACGTTCAAACACTGCGGACCGACGAAAACCTAACTGAACTGGAGGAAGAGTTGAGCAGAATGCACTGGCATGTCGTGGGATTATCTGAAGTCCGAAGAAAGGGGGAGGACTCGATAGTCCTGAGATCCGGCAATCTGCTTTACTTCCGGGAGGGCGATCAACTGTCCCAAGGCGGTGTCGGGTTCCTCGTCCACAAGTCCCTTGTGAATAATGTTATCAAGGTCGAGAGCGAGTCGAGTAGGGTAGCGTACCTGATACTCAGAATTACCAAATGGTATTCGTTGAAGGTCATCCAAGTGTACGCTCCGACTTCGACGCACTCCGACGATGAGGTTGAGGCTATGTATGAGGATATCTTCAGAGCCATACATAATACAAAGACTCATTTTAGCGTTAACATGGGGGACTTTAACGCAAATTTGGGCAAACGAAGCGGTGATGAGCTGAGAGTGGGGCAATTTGGTATCGGTGATCGGAACTTCCGAGGTCAAATGCTGGCCGACTTCATGGAGAAGGAGAGCCTCTTCATGATGAACTCCTTCTTCAGGAACACCGGAAATGGACGTGGATTAGTCCCGATGGTGCCACAAAAAACGAGTTAGATTTCATCTTGTCAACGAGAAGACAGATTTTCAATGATGTCTCTGTGATCAAAGCCGTCAAAATTGGAAGCGATCACCGGATGGTAAGAGGCACATTGAATCTGAATCTGAAACTCGAACGATCCCGACTGATGAAATCTACGCTCCGCCCTACACCTATACAGATCCAAAACCCCGAAAGCTTTCAGCTAGAATTGCAAAACCGTTTGCCTTGGTGACTGCGTTGACGTGAACGATTACAACAACAGGTTCGTGGAAACTGTCCGTGCGGCTGGGTCTAAGCACTTTAAAACCCGCCGCGCAGAAAGGACCGGAAAAATATCTATCTCTACCCTCAAACTGATGGATGAAAGACGAAGTATGGTACTGCAGTCTCCGACTGACGCTTCCCAGTATCGGCATCTTAGCAGCCAGATCTCTAAGTCCTTGACTTGTGACTTACGCCACTTTAACACAAATTGTGTAAAGGAGGCTATTGAGAAAAACAAGGACTCAAAAGTCTTTAACAGGGATCTGGCTGCCGGACAGAGCGAGCTGACGCGACTTAAGACGGATGACGGCAGGATCGTATCGTCTAAACCCGAACTTTTGAGGGAAATTGAGAAGTTCTATGGACAGTTATACACGACAACACGGGCACCTGTTAACAACACGGCGAAAGACCCTAGAGCCAAATTAACCCGACACTATACCGAAGATATCCCGGACGTCAGCCTGTACGAGATTGGTATGGCTCTTAAACAATTTAAAAACAACAAGGCGCCGGGTGATGATGGAGTTACTGCTGAGCTTCTGAGGGCTGGAGGTAGACCTGTTTTAGGAATCCTCCAGAAGCTATTCAACTCCGTCATCCTTGAGGGCAGAACGCCTCAAGCATGGCAAAGGGGTGTGGTGGTTCTGTTCTTCAAGAAGGGAGACAAATCGCTTCTGAAGAATTTCAGACCCGTAACACTGCTGAGCCATGTTTATAAGTTGTTTTGCAGAGTCATCACGAATCGTCTCGCGCGCAGTTTTGACGACTTCTAGCCTCCCGAACAAGCCGGGTTCCGAAAAGGCTTCAGTACCATAGACCACATTCATACACTGCGGCAGGTAATTCAGAAGACCGAAGAATACAACCTGCCACTTTGCTTGGCGTTTGTGGACTATGAAAAAGCTTTTGATTCGATCGAGACGTGGGCTGTGCTACATTCTCTCCAGCGGTGCCAAATTGACTATCGGTATATTGAAGCGTTGAAATGTTTGTATGAAAGGTGGACGGACGATCTGGTCAAGATCGCTGGAAGGCATTGGATGCGAGCAGCGCAGGACCGATCGTCGTGGAGATCGTTGGGGGAGGCCTATGTCCAGCAGTGGACGTCTTCCGGGCTGCGATGATGATGAAAAATTAGAAATCTACCACGGTAAATCCAGAATATTAATCCTAAGCTCCAAATCATATGCTGGGATTTGCTTATGGCTCCCGATGCTATTCATCCTGGGCCCGACTTTTAATTTATTATTAGAACATGTCTAACTATATGTTATTTTATAATAAATCACTAACTAAAAACTATATAATTAATATTAATTACACAATAATGTAGCATTACTAAATATACACTCAGTATAAAAAATAAAATTGCTACTACTAATATTAGGTATTAATTTGAAATAAAGAAAGAAGAAAAAACGAAATGTAACTAAGAAAATTTTATAATACTAAAATATTTCTGTTTATTCCAGACTGATGATGTAGAACATTTTCAAAGGCTATATACTGTGATTGGATCATGTCTGTATTACTCGGAACACTTGTTAAGTTCTCACCTGCAAGATGAAGACTTGAAAGAAATAAATGCATTCCTAAAATTAAATGGTATCTTGAAATTAAGCGTTGACAAGGAACTGGAGAAGCTGGTCATATGGAAGGAAGTTTTTGTCAATGAACATAGAAAAGTTAAAAGTGACAACAATGAATTAAGGTGAATATATTAATTGACATTCAGAAGTATGAATTATTATATGTAGATTACTATTTATTTATTTCAATATTTACTATTGTTGGGTGATAAACATATAGATATTATTTTAATTAATTATGTCCGGTAGAGAATTTAACTCTTTTTCTCTAAATTTCGTTAAGAGTGAAGCAGCAATCGAATGGCGGCACATAATACAATACATAAAATTTGGCTACCTGGCCTGAATACCTGGTCTGAATAAGTAGTTGTTAATCATTTCTGTGTACTCATACATTCTATATCTAAATGGGTATAAAAAAGAAAATGTCTAATCAAATTAGACAACTGAGTCCATTAAAACATTTTAATTTTTTTAGAATTCCAGATGGACGCTGGTTTCTACTTGTTGTAGGTAAAGGACACTTTATACTGGCTACATTGATGGAAGCAGGCGGATGTACAGAAGATGTATGTATCCTATTTAGTTTCGAACTCTATGAAAGAATATGATATAGTCCTTGTGAATTTGTCACGATGGGCTATTAGCTCAGCTCAACTGGTGCACCGCCAACGTAAACTGTTAGCGCAGAAGGTTGCATCTTTGTATTATCAACCAGTAAAAATAACGTGAACTATTACTATTTTCGGAATTAAAGTTGATATAGTAGTTATAATTGCAATTTTTCCAAACACTTAATAAACATATGTCACTTATAACATTATTATATGTGTTTCATACCTTATTTATTTATATTTTCTAGGCCGTCGGCGTCACACCTCCATCCCCATTTTACGTGGAAGAATGCGAAAGTTGCTTAGCACTATTGTACGAGGTTGGGCTCGACAAGTATTTATCGTTATGGTTATCGACTAACACACAACCACAGTTAGAAACATCACCAGAATACCTCACGAAGCATGGAAGGAAAATTCGGGACATAAATTGTAAGTTTCTTTTATGTAACTGCAATGGCAAAGAGGAATTATAAGTTATGGCTCTGAATTCTTTATCAAGGGCATGATTTTACATGAATTAAAATAAGCGCAATTGAATATAAATATTCTCATTTTATTCTATAAAAATGAGAATTTATGTTCTTAACAAAGTTTAATGTAATATAGTGGTCGACTGAATAAGTTTAAATCACAAAAGATTTTCAATAATATTATTTTCGAGGACATGAGAATCTATTTTATACTATTTTGACGGCCATTGGGCACACCGTCTTACTTCCGATGGATACAGACGATAAGTATGTCTGTTTGTATCGGTTTAGGTGATGTCTATGTTTATGTTATGCACGTATTTGTATTAATTGATATCCATAACCCAAGCTTTACTTAGCTTGGAAATAGATAGCGCTGTGTAAATTGTCCTGAGATTTTTTATTTTTATATTTCAGCTGTAAAGTCCGAGGTTGTATTAAAATCTTCAGTAAAACTTCCGAAGTCGATTCAGAGTGATGTTAAAAAGCGACACAATTCAACCGACCAAATTAATGTGGCTTCAAACAGTTCTGACACGAATGTGAGCAATTATGGCAGCCATAACAATTTATATGCACAATGGTACAACGTCAACCAGAAACAATATAGACATTCCAGTAATTTAGATATCAGTTATTCCGAGGATTCTAACAGTTTGAAGAGCAATAGGTAAGGTTTCTTTTAATTAATTGTAATGGAATGGCACTGCCGCCCGCGCTAACGGTTTAAGCTGGCGGGGCACCAGTGGACTATGATGAGCATGAGGTCAGGTTGTTAGCCCTTTGTGACAAATTTATCAGGAATATATCACAATGGTGACCAGAGACAACCGTATGTAGGTCAACCTGACATAGTCCTATGAAATATGTGTATAGTTTGGGCAATATTATTCAATCAAATCAATGTACAATACAATAAATATATATTTTAAAAAAAAACTATTTTGTTGTACACAATCAACATTTGTATATCCTCGAAAGTTTAATAAAACATTTTATCAACTAATAAATAAATTAAATGATATTGAAGTGCAAATTCTGTTCATTTATATTTTATTTTGACTTTATCTACGAATTACAGTGAAATATGAAAAATATTATTTGATGTTCACAATCAACATTTGTAAATGCACCACTATAAAGCTCGAAAGTTTAACAAAATTAATAACTATTATATAAATTAAACGTGATTGAAGAGTGAAGATTCTGTTCATTCGTGTTTTATTTTAACTTTAACAATTGATGTGTATTTTTCTACGAATTACAGCGAAATAAGCGATGACCGCGTTCAGGGCAGGAGAGCGGACAGAGAACAAAAAAATCGTCGTGAGTCTTCTGGTTCTGATTCAGATTGGGATAAACAGGTATATAATATAATAATATATAACAATATTTGCCGATTTTTTTACGTAATCATACAGGCTAGTTTCTCATAAAAATATTCATCCAAAGAACTTGACCAGTAATTTTATAGTTATATTAATAATATAATAAACAGCTTTATTTATTTAAAAATAACGAGGTTAATAAGTAGTTAACTAATGTTTTTAAGTAACAGACAATATTATTTACTTGTTGCTAGTGTTTCCTTGCCAACAAAAGTAATGGCTTATTTTAATAAAAGTTTATTATCACCTCCTCCTCTATCAATTGGGAAACTAGAATTGCCAAACCCGATAACAATGTATAACATAGATATGGAAATTAAAATATTTTTATGTATAATATAGAACTGTAAGCACTTTTATGATTGAGTAAATTTTAATTAATGTTATAGAATCTGTTGCAATATATATTTTCTTATTGTCACAGGAAGTAAATAGAGTGAGCAGCAGTATCGATATGTCGGATATAAGAAAGTCACTACTGAATGAAATTGATCGAGTCACCACACATAGGTAATAATAAGGCAGAGTTTAAAGAGGAATATGTCATATGATAATTACACTATTATTATATTTAAATAGAGTAAACTCAGGTATAATTGGGTACTTGCAGTAACTGGCCACTTTGTAGCAAAAGTAAGCATTATTTTCACAGCATAATAACCTTTCGTTTGTTAATCTATGTATCACATAACGACACATTTTTCAAAAAATAGACTTGAAGTAGCCAGGCGTCTTAAGTGGCACGATTACTGGTGTTTACCCTATTTAATAGCATTATTTGATGTACTAATTATATTTCAGGATAACAACGGGCGATGACAACGTATTATTTCATTTCATACAATTCGAATCGGCTAAAGGTATACTAATTGCGCCTGTAAAGAATATTGAAGTTCAGGCTAACAATCTGTTGTATACATACATCATTAAAACTTTCAGAACTGCCTGCAAAAGGATACATGACTTATTACAAAATAATATCAGGTAATATAATATTTACTTTTAAACTATTTTATTATCTTATAACATTTAAATATATTTCGATCTCTGGAAGGCGTTGGATGCGAACAGCGCAGGACTGATCGTCGTGGAGATCGTCGGGGGAGGCTATGGTTTAGCAGTGGACGTCGTCCGGGCTGAAATGATGAAATTATTTTGATGAAATTTCAAATCCTCTTATGAACGAACAAAGACAAGTAATTTTTTTAATAACTCTCTAGTAGAATAATAAGAAATCAAATTGGCGGGTGATAGTTTTCTAGATTACAGTTTAAATAAATTTGTTATTTTCAGGTTTAAAGCAAACCAGACACCGACAAATCCTCTTAATAAAATACTCATAGCTGTGAAAGAATATGGAATGTTGTTTCAAGTTCCGCAGCAATTACTGAATCGGTGTGTTATTAACAAGAAAAATTCTGAAATTTTCCAGTTTTGGGTTGTTGGGTAATGTCTTCATATAATGCGTTAAGATTTTTTCCATTTTGTTATACATAATTTTAAAAATTATATTTTAATCTTTCGACTATACAACTTTAAAATATAGTGTGGCATTTTGCCTAGTGGAAAGTTGCTAAAACTTCTCGATTTACAATATACAAATAAAAACAATTAAAACGATTAAAAAATGTGAAATAAGGAACAGTTTTCTTGAATCGGTAAATTTCCGCATTCAGTGCAAATTGATTTAAGGTTCTTATATATTGTCTACAAACCTGATTATGTTAGTTCTATAATATACTTTTTAAATTTCAGACGCGTATTCAGCGAACCAGAACCGAAGGAGCTATACTTATGTTATCACGAATCTATACCACAGGATCTTACTGAAGTTGCCTATTTGCTCTCGTATCTAGAGTGAATATAGAGTTTTATGATTGTTATCTCAGAGAAACATTGCCAATTTTCGACGTCATGGTTAACGTGTGGATCTCAAATTTCAGTCGTATACTTGGATTCAAGAAGGCAGGGGGAGCCTTCCGCCGTTGCTCATATTGCGTTTTTGCTTTATCATAGGAGTTTCCTTCACCGGGAATTATTCGGAAATATAAATTGACTCACAAAGTTTTTTTTCTGTCGGCGAATTTTAATTCACGGCGTTTTGGGTGAGAGTTGAGATCAATAACAATTAGGCCCTGAAACGTTCAATTTTTATGTCTTCTTAAATATTTTTTATATACAAGTAAATCACTTACTGATACTGACACTGAAAAATGTAATAAATGAAGACTTACTTTTTAGTACTATTTTAAAAATGTACATACCTATTTTAATATTTAATAAGCTTTAATAATTTCCGTCCAAACATTCTTATTTATAAGGACTGTTACGATATTATATATTTATATTGATATTTACATACATTATGAAAGCCATAATATACAACATGAAATTTGTATTCTTTTATTTATGCTTAGAGTTCTTATTTTACTTCCTTTAAATTTACATTTAAAATTGAGCTTTATTGATTTCCAAACAAATACAAAGATTATTATTATACCAATACAAAAATAATAGTACATATGACTGTATCAAGGTCAGGCACAAAGAAAGTATTATCAAAGTTTAACACGTAAGGGCCCAATATAAATACAGTTGGAATAGTATATACATTATTCTAACGAAATAGCAATCATATTACTAATGTGTAGAATAGATTTATCGCAATATATATCAGTAAGAAATATCTCTACTCAAGACTACCTACCAAAATAATCATTGGAATACATGTTTATATGGTGCCATAAAACTTCTACATGAAATAAATTAATATATTCATCGATAATAATAATTTTATTGAAGTAATTTGAATTGCTATTACACAATACATATTACCAAAGAAAGGTGTACTATGGACTTTATACTTTTGAATTTGCCGCCATTAAATTTTAGCTAGTTACTTCCTCCATAAGTCAGTTACGTTTCATGTACGTGTTGATTCGTTTAGTACCTATTTGTCTATTTCTATCACTTATTTGACACTTAGTATAAAGAAAAATATTATTTATGCGTCATTATTATATAAATTTTAATCCTGATTTAATGAGTAGAATGAAAAACAATATTATTTCCGTTTCCGTTCATTCAACAGAAAAAAAATTATAAGTAAAAAAAAGCCTTGCTATATTGCCAAAATCTTCCATCATCTAATTGATGACGGAAGAATCGGTTGCATTGAAAAATTATAAACAATTGTATTTTAAAATTATTTTTGATGAAATTAAGTATAAAATGTAACAGTATATAAAATAAGATTTCAGGAGATTCAAAATATGTGAATAAATACAATACAATGCAGTCGTCGTTTCCGTCGCAGACGCGTCATGTCGCATCTGGTGATGGCAGATTTGACTTTCTCCCCAAATTTTGGGGATTTAAAATCAATGGGAGAAATTTGTGGAAACATGAACATAAATTTTGAGGGCTAAAACAAACAATAATAACGGCAAAAATAAATTAGTCATTAGAGTTGGGAATCAATATAAAATAAATTATTCACTAATACATTTAAAAACGGTAAAATTTTGTAAAATATTACAAAAGAACAATTTTTTTGAGGGAAAGTCTACTGGTCATCTGGCAACACTGGTCGCGTCGATCATTTAAGTATAGATACTCGCTAGCTAGCTAGTTCTACTCGTCTACTCTTTGGTGGAGTCAAAACTAATCTATTGTTCTTAATTTATTGAATTCGTTTGGTTTTAGGATTGCTTTGGTTGGTGAATAATGTGTTATTTTACGGAACGTTTGTAATGGAATAATACCAAATTAAACTTAACTTCTATAAATGAATTAAAAGTATATGTAATAAAGTGTTATAATGTGCTTAGCATAGGTTGCTATAATACAATGATAACCAAAATGCAAGCTCAAACAAATGTTGCCGTGCCACAATCTGTCACAACGCAGCCCCAGCAAATAGTCGGAGTTCCTGCAAATGCCGTAATCTTAAAAATGTCTGATATCCAGCAGATATCTACTGTTGGTAAGTATTATGAATAATGTTTTAGCTGAAATCTATAGCTGGCTGGTTCAATGGAAATGTTTTTTGAATATGTTTTGTCACTCGTGGAAATTTTCCTATGGAAATATAAATTAATTACCATATAATAAAACGTGGTTATGTTTGTTTTCCTTCTTGTTTTTGCAAATTTGTAACGTAATACAATATGTTCTAAAAACGTGTGTATGATTTAAGTAGCGGAATTTAAAATGGTAGTAATTTTAATTTCGTTCTATTTGTGTGTTTAGGACTTTTGGAGCTGGCGCACCGCGAATACCAGGCGGGAGATTACGAGAGTGCGGAGCAGCATTGCATGCAGTTGTGGCGTCAAGATGGCACCAACACTGGAGTTCTACTCTTACTATCTTCAATTCACTTCCAATGCCGCCGTTTGGACAAATCTGCACACTTTTCCACATTGGCTATCAAGCAAAACCCATTATTAGCAGAAGCTTATAGGTAAGTTTTCTATATATAAAGCAATAAAAATGTTGTAATAAGTTACCAAAATCAACCAGACAAAAGTTCTGTAAAATAAAGGTTCTGTGATATTACTATTAATGGAGTTGGAGATTATTTCTAAATGTTTATAATCTATGTTTTCAATGAAAATTAGGTGGACTAGAGCTTTATTATAATATATATCTATGGATTAAAGTTTTGGCATCAAGCCAAGTTGGCTGCCCATCATATATTCATTGATATAATTACAATTTTAGCGAGGCAAGGCTCTTATAAACAAAAGCTCTAGACTTTTTCTTATTGTGTTTAGCAAAATATAATTTTAAAGAATAATTTACTAATAAATAAAAAAACTGTGTGGTGTATACATCTGATGTTATTCCAGTACAACAAAGCCTATTTTATTATTTCCAAGAGGTAGACTGAAAATGTCATCTGTGTAGGTACCAACATGAATAATTTTATATTTTATATTTCTATTTGAAACATCGAGACAGATAAATACATTATTAAAGAAAAATATATTGCCAAGCAGCTGTTTTCTAAATGTTTCGGTTGGTGGGGTATGCCTAGAAAGTTATAAATTACAGGACAACACATAGTGGCATCACTGTATCACATCATAGGTGCACATCTATTTTTTACATTATTAGTCATAAAATAATACTGAATAGATAGAAATTCAATTATATTAGGAGTACAGTTAATCACAAATTATTATTACAGCACTGTTCAAAATAAGTAAGGCTACTCGAAAATCTTTAAAGCTGTTAATTCTGAATAATGGAAGGTACACACAGACTTGTCGGTATTTATTTATATAGGTAATAAATAGTTTGGTGTGTTTAATTAAAAGTGGTAATGATCGAAACACTTGGCAAAGTTGGCAGTAGCAAGCCATTATAAAGTGTCTCATTTTTATTAGGTTTAACATTAATTTTTTAAATTAGATCAATTTATGTCTAACTTTTGCAACATTTATTAGTTTATACATAGTACAATTGTTCCAAAATACATAATTCCTATCATAGATTACATTAAGTAGTAAACTTCACTGTACTACATATTGTTATTTTTCATTGAAGCAATATGATGTTTTAAATATATGTAACAACATTACTAACACAATATTCTATAATTATCAATTTCAAATGTAAGAATAAATTATTGTTATGGGGGGAGGGGGGGATAGTATTGGGAACTAGTGGTTCCATTGCCAGCAATGTACCATGTAAAACACTACTGAACACTAAGTGTCCCTTGAAATTGTTGTGGTCAATACTTATCATACTGACCTTACCTTGCATGCCATATACCTTTGCACATGTGGGCATATTTTTTTTTATGGATGACAATGCAATGTTGCACCAGCTTGCGCTACCGGTTTAGGCTAGCAGGGCACCAGTGGAGGATGATAAGATGAGCATGAGGTCAGGCCAGTTAGACCATTGTGACAAATTCACCAAGAATTTATCATCCGGTTTTCAGGTCAACCTGACATGGTTCAATTGTTAGCTATAAGATCATCATTCCACATTAGTAACAATCCCCTTTGCCCATGTGGGTGCATATTGTCAAGACAAAAAAAAAAAAACAAATAATTGTTGAATTAACACAAGATTTTTTTGGTAGTAATCTGGGAAATGTATACAAAGAAAGGGGCCAGTTACAAGAGGCTCTGGAGAACTACAGGCATGCAGTCAGGTTGAAGCCAGACTTCATTGATGGTTACATCAACCTGGCGGCGGCGCTTGTAGCTGCTGGTGACATGGAACAAGCTGTCCAAGCATATGTCACTGCTCTTCAATATAACCCTGTAAGTGCATACAATAGACTTTCAGTTTGTTCTCTTATCTTATATTTAGAATATATAGGATATATTTTTTTATGTAAAAATACCACTAACAGGTGAACTTCCAACTGATGGTAAGTGGTAATCATCTCCTATATGTGAGAAGAGTACAATTGACATCGTATAATACACCTTCTGCATTGCCCTTCTGGAGGATTAACATCCAAATTCTGTGCTATTATAATGTAGAAAATTATAATAAACACTACAATGTGAAAATAAATTCTATATTGACGACCTCGGTGGTCTAGCGGTCTAGCACATCGCTTTACGACCGATTCCTCGCACGGCACAAACATTTGTATTCATGAGTGTGATTGTTTGTATCGGTCTGGGTGTTTTCTATGTATAATATGTATGTATTTACAAAAAAAAAATATATCTATGTATTTGTATCAGTTATCTAGTACCCATAAAACAAGCTTTAGCTAGCTTAACTTGGGTCTAGATGGCGCTGTGTGAATTGGCCTGTGATTATTATTATACTGTAGGATGCACTTTATTAAATCTTCTTGATAGTTTACCACTTAATACTACTATTATAATTGAGAAAGTTTGTGTAGATGTTTGTCACTCACATTTTAATTGCTGGGTGAATTTGAATATAACTTGGAGGAATGCTATAAACATGGTGAGATTATAGTGAGTAATTTCTAGATCTACTGAACTGATTTTGGAAATTATTTTATCAATAAAAACCCGCGTTATTTGTGATTGTCATAGGCTGTTATATAGGAAATATGAATGAACCTGCAATGAAAAATATTGCATAAACATTGAAAATCACGACGAACGACTTAGCTATAATATTTCGGTACATATATAAAACTAATAGTACATGTATCTATCGTACATTACCAAATAAGACATTTAATTTTTATATTAAGCGATCACAGTTGCGTCATGCATCTAGTTGAAAGATAAAAATAACGATGGTTACTTGATTTGTTTTTGGCACAAGAACCTAATCTTTAAATGACTATTAAGAATAATACAGAGATTATAAAGAATTGTCTATTTTCCGAAAGATAAGTTTTCATAGCCTTGAATATAAATTGTTGTTGACTCATAATTTCCTCCTATTTAAATTGCTTCAATGGATAATTGACTCTACTATTGTTGATTTAAGCTTGCGTTTCCAATAATTTTATGTATATTAATATGTATGATGTGATATATAATGTATCAATAACAATGTAATGAATTTTTCCGTCAATTGTTGGTAATAAGGTAATGCAATAAGCAAAAGACGAAACTTAACCCATTTACGCAGTTATTTTATTATTATGATAATAATATCCCACAATCTTAATTACTGGGTATGTAAATAATTAAGATTTTGTTCTAACAAAAACAGTCTTATTATTTCTTATAAAGTAAAGAAAAAATAAAGGTACCTATATTCAAGGACTATTTTTGATTCATAATCAAAAATATTCCCAGAATCGGTGCAATGGTACATTTGTGTCCAGAAACCTTAAAGACTAAGCAGAAAATATACATATTCTACTTTTTTAAAGAATAGTTATCATTATGTCCTATAAAATGGGAATAACATAATTTTCGTTAAACGTGTCATCGATTAATTATTTTCTCGACGACACACCCATTGACAATGAACGATTTAAACCGAAAACAGGCACCTACACTAAATATGTTTGTTGCAGGATTTGTACTGCGTAAGAAGCGACTTGGGCAATTTGCTCAAGGCCTTAGGGCGTCTAGATGAGGCAAAGGTAAATATGAGTTTATGACATTTTCTGGTTTGCTCAGAAGTTAACAGGACCGTGTGATTGTTTCCCTTTGCACTATATTAAATTAGTATACTCTCTGTTTCTCTAGCGTACAAAGCATTGCGTAAATATCCCTTATACACTGCAAATAGCGTCGAAATTATCCCCATAATGGTTTCAACAAAATATGTTCATATAAAATTCCATGGTATATGTTAACCGTTTTGTTTGTTTAAACCATTATCTGTGATGTGTGGACAAGATAGAAAATAGAACACCTTGGTTTTATATATAAACATTGTTTGTATCTTGTTCCGCATATAACACACATAAAATATTGAAGTAAGATTATGGATATTCTTCAATATTTTACTTATAGCATGTTGCGTAATAATGATTATTTTTCACACAGTATTTTATTTTGTTTCAAATATTCTCTAACGACCTAATAGCCCAACTGAGGTATTCGGGATAATGATAAAGAAATATACGTACGTTAAATTCGACCTTCGGAACAGAACACAATTCATGATGAATAATTTATTTAGTATATACATAATGTTTAATTTGACTGTGTGAAAAATGAAATGGTAAAGAGAGAGTATGCTAATATTCATATTGTAACATCAACATTTTCGTAAATTGTAAATCCTGTTACCTTCCTCTTACCTAGTTTACATTTTGGTAGAGATTCCTTATTACATTTGATTGAGGATTAAAGGAGTTAGTAGTGTTATTCATTAGTGGTATGACGTAGTGAGTTCTATTTATTTGCTGAGATATAATTTTGTCATCCACATCATGCCTGTCATTGCTCTGCTAGAAGACAGCGTGAGCTGACAATGATCCTCTCAAATCACAAACATTCGATTTGTAATATAATATGAGTAAGTTTGAAAATCAGGCGATGAAGTTTGACTCAAAATCAACTAATTTTGTTATATTTTCACAAGGTGTTGTCTGGTAAGACAGTAGGTGTGACCGCTGCTGTATCTAGCTGGGTTACGGTTGGTACGACACTCGCTATGCCGCCGCGATGACAGCATAACGGCTTCAGGTAAAGTGGAAAAGGTTTGCAAGAAATAATACGAACAGGTTATTGGATATGACTCGTTGCTCTTTGAATATCATTGTCGTGACCATTTTCTCCATCGGCTAGGAAGTGGAAGCGGTTCATGCACCGTTTTGGGTCAATTACCCTTTTATTCGTGAGGCGTTACTATTGTGTTGGTTTGCTAGTCGTTTGCATTTCCTACTGATGTGTGTGGCTGTCGGCGTAGTTTCGTGTCGTTAGGGTGCAATTGGCGTAAATTTATAATCAGCCGGTTCATGTTGGTTCATTTGTTTTTTTACTGAAATGTTCCAGCATTGACCGTCGCTATGGTGTAATTCCTGAAATTGGCGTAAAAACATTTCAGAACTTCATCACTGTGGAATTCAATAATGAGAACAGTTGCTAACATGTTGTTTTTTCGTGTGTGTAGGCTTGTTACTTGAAGGCCATCGAAACGAGGCCTGACTTTGCAGTGGCATGGAGTAACTTAGGATGCGTATTTAACGCACAAAGTGAAATTTGGTTGGCCATACATCATTTTGAGAAGGCGGTGGCTTTGGATCCCAATTTCTTGGACGCATACATTAATTTGGGGAATGTTTTAAAAGAAGCAAGAATATTTGACAGGTAAACAAATATTTTAGAATTACAAGATATTTAGAATTAATTTGTTATTTTCCTTACGTAAATTGTAAAGTGTTGATATATATTAATTATCACGATTTATTGTATAACAATACTGTAAATGTTAATGTAAGACTATATATTTTTTAATTGTACTATACCTACTAAAAATATTATACAATGTCTAATATAATGTCTGTATAAAAATCCATTATTTTTTTAATATTATCAGGGCTGTAGCAGCTTATCTCCGTGCTCTGAACTTATCTCCCAACAATGCTGTTGTACATGGAAATTTGGCATGCGTATATTACGAACAAGGATTGATCGACTTAGCCATCGATACATACAGAAGAGCCATAGAGTTGCAACCAAATTTCCCAGATGCATACTGCAACTTGGCCAATGCTTTAAAGGAGAAAGGTCAAGTTGCTGATGCGGAGGAGTGTTATAATACCGCCTTACGCCTTTGCCCTTCCCATGCAGATTCCCTAAACAATTTGGCTAACATCAAGCGTGAGCAAGGTTATATAGAAGAAGCGACGCGATTGTATTTGAAGGCTTTAGAAGTGTTCCCAGAATTTGCTGCTGCACATAGCAATTTAGCGTCTGTATTGCAACAACAAGGAAAACTGAATGAAGCACTCATGCATTATAAGGAGGCAATCCGCATTCAACCCACTTTTGCTGATGCGTACAGTAACATGGGTAACACATTGAAAGAAATGCAGGATGTTTCCGGCGCTTTACAATGCTATACCAGAGCTATTCAGATTAATCCAGCATTTGCGGATGCACACAGTAATCTCGCTAGTATTCATAAAGACTCTGGAAATATTCCTGAAGCTATACAGTCTTATAGAACTGCACTAAAGTTGAAACCGGATTTCCCAGATGCTTATTGCAATTTGGCCCATTGCTTGCAAATCGTATGCGATTGGACAGATTACGAGGCCCGTATGAAAAAACTTGTCAGCATTGTCGCTGAGCAACTCGATAAGAACAGACTGCCGTCGGTTCATCCACACCATTCCATGCTATATCCTTTAACACATGACTTCAGAAAGGCTATTGCCGCCAGACATGCTAATTTGTGCTTGGAGAAAGTTCAAGTTCTCCATAAGCCACCTTATAAATTTGCGCGTGACCTACAGGGCCGACTGCGCATCGGTTATGTTAGCAGTGACTTTGGCAACCATCCCACTTCTCACTTGATGCAATCGGTGCCTGGATTGCACGATCGTAGTAAGGTCGAGATCTTTTGCTATGCTCTAAGTCCTGATGATGGTACAACTTTCCGCTCCAAGATAGCCAGGGAAGCAGAACATTTTATTGACCTGTCTCAAATGCCATGTAACGGCAAAGCTGCTGATAAAATTTATGGAGATGGCATCCATATTCTTGTCAATATGAATGGGTATACTAAGGGTGCAAGAAATGAAATATTTGCTTTAAGGCCAGCCCCCGTACAAGTCATGTGGCTGGGCTACCCGGGAACTAGTGGGGCAAGTTACATGGATTATCTCGTAACTGACGCCGTGACATCACCTCTGGAACTAGCAAGTCAGTACAGTGAAAAATTGTCGTATATGCCTCATACATATTTCGTCGGGGACCACAAGCAAATGTTCCCACATTTGCAGGAGCGTCTTATTCTTAGTGACAAAGTGAAATCACACAATAACTTGGGTATTGTTGCGGACAATGTTGCAGTTATTAATGCAACTGATCTGTCACCGCTTGTTGAGAATACTGACGTAAAAGAAATAAAGGAAGTAGTTAGAGCAGCAAGACCTGTGGAAATTTCATTAAAAGTTGCCGAATTACCTACCACCACACCCATTGAAACAATGATTGCTTCGGGACAAATTCAGGTATTAATAATGAAATGTTTTAATGTTACTAAAATTTTAATAAAGCCAATATCAATATTCTAACGTATTTTTACATTTACAGACTTCAGTTAACGGTGTTATTCTTCAAAATGGCTTAGCGACGACACAAACAAATAATAAGGCAGCGACAGGAGAGGAAGTGCCACAGTCTATTGTAATTACGACAAGACAACAGTATGGTTTACCTGATGACGCTGTGGTGTACTGTAACTTCAACCAGTTGTATAAGATCGACCCACTGACTCTCCACATGTGGGTGTATATATTGAAACATGTGCCAAACAGTGTGCTGTGGTTACTGAGGTTCCCGGCAGTCGGCGAACCTAATATACAAGCAACCGCACAGCAGCTAGGTAAGGTCCTTGTTCATTATTTAATTATCTATAATTAATTATATACATATTTTTTTAAAGATTTTTTATAAAATCAATTTTGTAATAATTATGACTTTTATTTGTTGAACGATTTTCTCAACTGAAAATTCTTAAAGTAAAATAAGGATATGCTTAAATCTACATGATAACAGATAGTCTATGTCAATACCGCCATCTATCTTCACCTTTTAGTTGCAAAGAGGAAAGGCACAATTTTATCGTTTATAATAATGGTATGGTTTTTTTATTGCAGGTGTACCACCCGGACGCATTATATTCTCAAATGTGGCAGCGAAGGAGGAACACGTTAGACGCGGCCAACTAGCTGACGTGTGTCTCGACACTCCGCTGTGTAACGGACATACGACGAGTATGGATATCCTGTGGACCGGCACGCCCGTGGTCACTCTACCCGGAGAGACTTTAGCGTCGAGGTTAGTTTTTTTTTTTGATTATAGAATGTCGATCCCAACTGTATAGACTATTCTATGCCGGTGGAACACTGACAGTGACAGTTAGTAGGAAGAAGATGAATTGCTTCTGTGTATTCTATTTATTATTTACAATTATATTTGTATTACTTTTACAGAGTGGCTGCATCACAACTTAATACTCTTGGGTGTCCTGAATTAATTGCCAGAACGAGACAGGAGTACCAAGACATAGCTGTAAGATTAGGAACTGATAGGGAATAGTAAGTATACTCTGTTGTGTTGTTTTATTTAAAATTTAATTAAAATATGATAGGCCTAAAAGCCAAGCTTGTTATTATTTAAACATATTTAAGGTTTTACATTAAAAAATATTATATGTATTAAAGCTGTTGTTCTTAAGAATTTTAAAATATGTTATCCATACTACCATACAAGAAATGCAAAAATCTGTTGTTAGCTTTGCTTGAAAGAACTGCTGAATGTATCTTAATAAATTTGACGTATAGGTAGTATTAAGAGGATAGATGAAAGCTATCTGGAAAAAGTACATAAAATTGCAGATAACAGCTAATAAGTCAATACAATATCTTCTGATTTCAAAATAGTTTAAATTTATATTTTTATTTCAGTTTTTTTATTATTACATTTATGTATACACCAGTTGCATGGAGAGGATCGAAAATCTTGTTCTACAAGAAAGATGACGATATTTCAATTTACGTTCGTTCCACAGTTTAAAAGCCATCCGCGCTAAGGTGTGGACGGCCCGTACGGATAGTCCGCTCTTCGATTGCAAGGCGTACGCGACCGGCCTCGAGATGTTATATAACAAAATGTGGGCCAGGTACGCGAGGGGCGATCGTCCTGATCACATACAGGCGATAGACAAATAGAGGAGAGACAATACCGCGGGATGTGAGTGGACTACTAAGAAACGCCGTTGGTGCTAAGTGACAGTGGACTTAATATAGTGAATTGTTGATGGTTTCGGTTTTGGAGGCAGCTGTGTTTGCGTAAAAACACTTGCGTCTATATGAAGCGAGTTACAGATCTTTGTCATACATATGCATTATGTATTAATATGCAATGAACATACATTTTCTGTAGTATATAATATAATTGCAAGCAGATTGTCATATAATGGCGGTTCGATCAGCAATTTAGTTTGTTTTATTTATAAGTTAGGATTTAGTGTTTGAGGTATTGATTATTGATTCTTATTCGGAATTATCGTGATATGAAATCCTTGGAGACATATTAGGAGGTGCGAACTCATTTTTCGATTACTCTTCTATAGTTATAGCATAAAATATGGCTAAATTTCATACCGAGTTAGTATTCTTTTAGATGGTTTTCTAGTCAACTGCTAATAAATACTATTAACCATTGCCTTTGATGGGATATAGAGTTGACATTTAATTTATTACTACTATTCTTAGGTACTGTATCATATTTACCATTATTGTAAATCATAAAACCAATACAATTGTATGAATGCTAAGAATACCTACTAAAACAATCTTAGCAAAAATGTTATAAAATGTGTACAAAAATTAGAGTAATAAATTATTTGAAGTTTACTCCAGTGTTACAGTATAAATATGTATATGTAAGCTACGCGGCATATGTAGTTGTTCTCCGTATGTCTTTTTGAAACAATGGAGAGTATTAAACTCTCATTCAGTTGTAACTGCCAAAGGCATCAATAAGAAATTATTTAAACTGAGAGTGTAACACATAACACCAAATTATTTAATCAGTGAAGTCCAGAACCTACGCAAGACTGATTATCTGGATACCCCAATGTACCGACGATTAGGTTAATTAGTTCAATTTAGTTATTTGTTCACATGTGGGTGACATCCTCTAGCAGTGAAGATGATAATTTTAAGTGACTACTTGTGATAGTATGATAAAAGATGGCTATGGAAGTCGTAGCTTTTTATTGTTAACAATATGATATCTGTAGATAACATTTACCCAGCGATTTTTGTTTTCATCATTCAGACGTTTTGATTATAGCAGAAAATTTTAACATGCTTGATATTAAAGTTTTGTATATAAATGGTCTTTCCTTTTGTACATATTTCATTGATTAATTTGTTTATGAATTTGGTTTGTTTTAATTTGTTTATTATTATAATTATAATAGTGTCTTTTACTAAAGACTACAATTGCTTTATCTCAAATTGGAAGTACTCTGTTATACTTATAATGTTTTAAGATACATAATAACTTTCTCAAGTATTTTTGACGTTTTATTGAAACATTATCACTAGTGTAACGTTAGTAATGTATATGCGCATCATCGTTAAATTCATCTCATTTACGGCTTAATCTGATTGAAATGTAAATACTATGCTGCAGTTGAGCATAATTAAGTAAATTTTAAAAATACGCTTAATGTTGTTTCATTTTGATCGTCCTTGAAATTTTGTTCTGCCAAGCGATAATTATTATTTATTGCTAAGATTTAGAGCTTTAAAGACAATTTTAGTCTAAAGATATTCTTTAAACCGCTAACTTCATTTTATTATCTAATCTATTTTTAAAAGTTGACTGTCTTCAAATAACTACATTTCCTAAATAATAAGATAAAAAAATAAAATAGTATGTTATAAATTAACATTAAAAACTGTCAATTTAAATTACAAAATACATCAGTATGATCGCTAGCTATCGACCTGTCACTTTGGAAACGAATATGGTTGGCGAAACATCGATTACGTCAGGATTGTTACCTATTTTGTAGGTTTTTTTTGTAATGTAAAAAATGTTGTTTACTGATTGTTACAATAAGTTACTACTTTTAACCTATTTAAAAATGTATAGTTCTTATTGTGTTTGTACTGTACCGATTAAGATGTTTATTTTTTAACGGAAAAGGTAAGGTTTGTTTGTCATTTATTGTTGCGAGGCAATTGTATATAATTCCTGATGAATACGCCTAATGAATGTATTAAATGATCTGCAAGTCTACGTTGGAGTCTAATCTTAATATCTATTTAAATAGAATTCACTTTTGCATGTTCGTTTGATATGTAATCAGGACTAAACTGAATAAATTATATCAGGTAATTCTTTCATTGAATCGAAAAATGGAATTTTTATTGTGTCGTCTGATTTGCATCTCACTGCAGAAATATCTTTGTTTAATTTTTTTTTTATTTCTTACACATTTATGTTTTTCAGTATATATATAATAGAATCGTGACGAGACGGGACGTATCCGTCGGGCAGGAGTTGGCCTTCAGTCGTTCCATAAGTCCTTCCGCGGGTTTGGAGTGCCATCTGCACTCGCCCCATAACGTCCGGTGAAGCTGTAAAGGCCAGCTACGGCCAACAGCATTAGAGTAGTCCGAAAAAAAAAACCGAGACGGGAATTGTTTATCTGATTGTGTGTTATTTTCACGTAAAAACGGAGTTGCTTAATCTGGATTAACATATACAGCTTAAAAAAGGTTGAGAAAATGTCACCCAAAGGAGGAAAATAACTAATAACGTGAAAATTTTAAATGCGCAGTACCTATAATTGTAATAATTTATTAATAAATCAAAAACAGATAGACATCGTTAGTCTCCTAATGTTACAAAGAGGAAATATTCTTTCTGATTCGATGCATTGAGTAGCCTTCGAAACTTCTAGAGAGATTCAAGAAATTCCTTTATCGTTAGAATCCTTACCCTGATGAACATAGGCGATAGGATTTTCAAGAACGCTAGGGATTAGTATGAAAATTTCGATAATTTTACTCAACGTGTGAAAAAATACAAATAAAATCTTTACATCAGTTATGTAGCAATAACTACTGTGTCGTGTAAGTCAGGGCGGACCGCTAGTACTGAACAATTGACAATTTCAATATTACGCGAACGAAGGCGCGGGTAAATGTTAGTAGGTATTTAATATGTACCTACTTCTCTACTGCTACTACGTCATTTGTTGTAATGCATCAGTCATTGCAACAAATGGCGACCCTCGGAACCATTGAGTGGTGCGTAATGCCAGGTGAGTGTTATAATGATACACATATAGCAATCACCTGGCCTTCCGCAGAGAAAACTGATGGGGTTATTGAGTAGCTATATGATACAGCTACTCAATAAATCCATCAGTTTTCTCCGGCCAGAATGATTATATAAACAATTACCACACGATTCCCTAAAAATGCAAGAAATTAAAATGAAGACGTAAGTAAGTAGTTTCATATATTCAAATATAGAAAGAAAACACGAGGGAAACGGGTGAAATGTGCTTTAAAAATTGATTACGTACTTATAATATGTTTAAAAACTTGTTTTTTGAAATAAGAATACATTATTATATTTTTTAAGTCTAATCCGTACGTTTACTTAGATTCTAGATGTATTTTTATTTCGTATCGAAAGTTTTACCGCGTTACGGAATCCCAAGTGAGATTATTCAGCAAATAAATTCAAATTAAAAAATAATTATATATAGGACATTTTAACCTCGTATGAATGTAATGTAATTTTCCCTAACATCCAGTTCAGGCTATAGACTGAGTTGAGAACAACTAACAAGAAACTGAACTTATGTTCTTTTTATATTGTCAATATGTTAATACTGAAAGAAATTAATAATAATGTTAATATTGTGTAAATATTTATTTGGGTTTGGGTTTACGTCTAACATTACTTTGAAAATCCTGTACAGAACTATTGTGTATTGTTATGCATATTTGTCATTCAAGTTATCGTTCATATCTTATCTGTGGTTCAGTACATAATAGGCTCTTTAAAAATCTATAATAGACTTTGTCATAGGTTTTAAAAGTTCTGCCAAAAACACTAATAGACTTTCTTAGTGTGTTTTGAGAGAACTTTTAAAACCTATGAGAAGGTCTATTATAGTTTTTTAAAAGAGCCTATTATGTACTGAATTAGAGATATGGTACCTATACTTACCAAATGATTAATTGCTACATTATTGTATTTATATTTGTTCGATGTTCGATATAACTTTTTTAAAGCATATATTATTAATATTCTAAACGCGAAAGAATGTTTGTTACTCTTTCATGCAAAAACTACTGAACGGATTTTGATGAAACTACAGTAAGAGTTTAGTTTAGATATACATCAGAATAACATATAGGCTATAAATTTCACCCGGGTGAAACCGCGGGCAGAGCTAGTAAAATAATAAATTTACAAACCTAACTGATAAATACTCTAGTTTTATAAGTTAGTATGGTAGTCTATCGATTTAACATACCGCCTTATTTCCGATGGTCACGGATTCGATTCCTCGCACAATATAAAAAATTGTGTTCATGAGTATAAATGTATTAGTTGTTACCCATGATTTCGCGTGTAATTATTTTTATAACAATAAAATTTCTAAAATAAAAGTAGCATAAGTTACTTTTTATAACATTAGATATCTACGAGCGAAAGTCCCGTCAAAATAGTTTCAGAGATTAGTAAGAGCAAACAGACTAAATTTTTGATGTAAATATATTTTTTCACATGCATTTAGCGAAAAGCTGCTAATTTGAAATTACAAACAGACACTTCACTTATATTTGTTTATATGGATGTATTTACAAAAAAATGCATTTAAATATTCATATTCAAATATCTAGTCGCATAACACAAGAATTGCTTAGCTTGAATATATTTTATCTGTGGCTTAGGACTAGCTAGATGGTGCTCTGTAAATTGTCAATGAATAATATTATTATTGTACTATTACCCCACGGGAAACCATTGCGTTTATTTGCTACTTACTCCATGGTCAACCTTCCACTGGTGCCCCGTCAGCGTAAACCATTAACGCAGGTAGGTACGTGACGTACGTGACGTGACCCATTAAAAAATACTGTTGCCCACTTATCACTCAATAAATGCATCTTTTGACTGATATTGGCTTCATCGTAGTCCTATATCATATTAATACAAATATTAACTTTTTTTACAATTATTATGACCCCATCATAACATAACTTACTCGCCATTGCAATTATTGAGTATAATGATATTAATAGCTGCATTGGTATTTTCAGCAACAGTAGAAATAGTTATTGGCCTACATTATGGACTTATTCTATGTCTGACTCACTCCAAAATCTTTTAGAGAAATCATAGAAATGGGAAAAGAGTATTCGTTTAATTATGTAATATTATGTTATCTGTGGTTTAATTAAACATTGATACCAGATTATGCGGCGATAGTGGTAAGTAGTTCCAAGGAGTAATAACCCTTACTAATATTATAAATGCGAAAGTAACTCTGTCTGTATGTCGCGTTTTTACGCCAAAATTACTAACCGATTCAATGAAATTTCGCACGCAGTAGGTACTATAATAGTAGGTATAGTTTAGATCCTGAAAAAGGACTGGCTACTTTTTAATGCGAAAAAAGGGTGGAAGTTTATTTTTAAAGCTTGAAACTTCTTATTAAATTAAATATAAAATAATATGACATTCAAAGTTTGTAAAAATTTTACTGCTAAAGGGGTAAAATAAAATAGTGGATGAATGTTTGTATAGAAATTCGTCTTTTCTGAAGTTAGAACGAGGAAACTTTTTTCTTTTTATTTTTTGGGTTAGATTATTAAATATTTTATGTTATCATTATTCCACGATAAGCTCCGACCTTCAGGTCTTGTTTTATAATACGCGACAGAGTCTTAGCCGGAATCTTCATTACTCGCGATAAGATTTTTTGTTTCCTAATGGGGTTTCGATGAATTCTGGCTTTAACAGCCTTTGTAGTTCTATCAGCACGCGGCCGCCCCGATCTTTTCTGGTCTTCGACAGCTGAAGTGTTGTTGTATGTATGTGTTGATAGTACGATATACGAATATACACCTGATACCAAGGTTTTGAAGTGTCTGGAATATGACTGAAATAGAAATAGAAACTAAACATTTTTACAGACGTTATCTATCTGGTGTAGTAGGCTTTAGACATTCTATTTTCAGACCTTGACCTTGACTATTTATAGACCCAGATATAATGAGATCTTTTAAATATCTTTAATAATGGAATTCATTAAAAAGGTGTCTAGTAAAAAGTATCTACTTTTTAAGGATCTATATAATTTGGTCCTTTTGGTGTAGTGGATTAATACAATCCCGGAAAAATAGCATTTGTTTTATAGGTAGGCTTACATCTACTTGTTAATGTTTTTAAATGTAATCTAATTGATTGTACTTCAAAATTATATGTCATCGATTTATATGACATAGGCAAAGAATGCAACTTTTTCTTTTTTAATTTATAACTGCTCTAAAAATACCCAAGTATAATTTATTACACTTTATTAATTATTTACACTAACTGCAGTGGTTTTTTTTCAATTGAATGTAAGGTACTCCCTTGAATGTAAGGTACCTACTACTAACCTATAATTTACGATACAGCGATGTAGGTACCTAATTGTAGAATACATTGTTATTACAATCTGCTCTTACGACATCTTGGGAATGACAGTAGTGGTGCTATAATGTATTCTTATTCTATTATCACATTATAGGACTAGTTTGCAAGTAGACGTAATTTAAATTCATTGTCAAAATATACGTACATTAAAAGAAGTAGATAATAGTGATGTCACATTAATAAATTATTGTTAATATTGTATCACTCAAAAATAATAACATTAAAGAAAACAAAATTACGTAACGGTTGCTGTTATTTTTTTTCAAAAGTCGAAAAACTACTAGGGGTACTTAGTATGCGACAATAGAATCGGTTCGTCGGACACGGTGCGGTCTGCGGGTCCGTATTCCGTTCGCTCGGCGCGCGGCGCGCATTCATGGCATTTCATTGTACGCGGCAGTCGCGGCCTCGCATCCGCGGGGGGATCGCGTGCTTGCGTTGCCATGTCGCGCTGCCGCACGCACATTGCTCTATTTACAATCCCATACATAACCATTGTTATCGAAACATTAGATCGCGGTACTCGCGTCGCGAGATGAACATGACCCACCACCACCCACGAACTTTACTTTCATTCATAAAAATTTGACAAGTGACGAAAATGAAATGGACACAGTGCGGCTTACAATGATAATTAACGCGATATTCTTTTGTTTAGTGATGGGCGCGGCGCTTACGGAAGCGCCTGACGATGCAGATCCATGTTTATGTGTGTCCGGTGAGAATGGTTTTGTGGAGTGCAATGTACGGACGTTGTCGTCGGACAGAGATGTCGTCGGTTCGATGCACTCGGATGGTGCGGAGCGGCTTGCAATTCGTTGTAGCCCGCTTCTCCTGGAAAGCACGTTGCGGGATCATCACTTTGGAAAAATGCAAGGTTTGGCGGAGATATCTATAAATAACTGCAAAATACTTCGTCTTCCTGGTAACGTGTTCGAGGGTTTAAGAGGCCTAAAAACTTTGAAGATACGCACTATGAATACAGAGTGGAACAGCAATAAAGAACTAGACCTGACACTTGGAGCATTTAACGGCCTTAGAGAATTGCACACTCTAGACTTAGCATATAACAACATCAGAAAGATACCATCGGACCTGTTCTGTGCACTGGAAAATATAATTTCTCTCAACTTGACTCATAATAAAATCAAGTTTGTCGACGAACTGGGCTTTGGCCATAAATGTGGCTCTACATTGCAGACGATAGACTTAAGTCACAATGATATTATGTCGTTGCCAGCTGATTCGGAAATTTTACATTTGCGGAGACTGACTCATTTGTACTTACAAAACAATAAAATAAGTGAGTTGCCCAGTGACGTATTCAGTGATTTGCTTTCGCTGAAATTTGTAAATATTTCCAATAATGCAATAAATTACTTACCAGAGGGATTATTTTATAACACGCGAGAAATTCGTGAAATTTATATGCAAGATAATGAGCTGGAAATTTTGCCCAAGAGAATATTTAATCGGTTGGAACAATTGCTCGTTTTAGATCTTTCGGCGAATAAATTGAGGATCGACCACATAGAAGATGAAACGTTTGGTGGTCTAATAAGATTAATCGTGCTCGACCTGTCCCACAATGCGGTCGCAAGGATCAGTCGCAATATGTTTAAAGATTTGTTCTTTTTGCAAATACTTAGTTTGAATAATAACACCATAGCGCATATAGACGACAACGCCTTTTCACCGCTTTTTAATTTGCATACATTGAACTTGGGTCAAAATAAAATACGTACAATTGAAGATCACGTGTTTAATGGACTTTTTATATTAAATAAGCTTAATTTAAATAATAACTTATTGTCGTATGTTAGTGACAATGCATTTAAAAACTGTTCGGACTTGAAAGAATTAGATTTAAGTTCCAATAAATTAACAAAAATTCCAGAGGCAATTCAGCAATTACCGTTTTTGAAATCTTTAGACTTGGGAGAAAATTTATTGACAGAAATAACAAATAACTCGTTTCAAAATTTATCTCAATTAACCGGGTTGCGTTTAATTGACAATCAAATTGGAAATCTTACTGCTGGTATGTTTTGGGGGTTACCTAGCTTACAGGTACTGAATTTGGCAAAAAATAAAATACAATTGATTGAGACAGAAACCTTTCAAAAGAACACACAATTGGAAGCCATACGGTTAGATGGAAACTTCATTTCTGATATAAATGGTGTGTTTGTAGCTTTAACGAAGTTATTATGGTTGAATTTATCTGAGAATCATTTAGTTTGGTTTGATTACGCTTTCATACCAAGAAGTTTAAAATGGCTGGATATTCATGCAAATTTTATTGAAATCCTAGGTAATTATTATAAAATTAAAAATGAATTGCATGTTAAAACGTTAGACGCTAGTCATAATCGTTTGATAGCTCTATCTGCAATGTCTATACCTAACAGCGTCGAGTTACTGTTTATTAATAATAACTTTATATCGAGCATAGAGATTGATACGTTTTTAGACAAGAGAAATTTAACTCGAGTCGATATGTATGCCAATGAGATTGAAAGTTTGGACATAAATAGTTTGCGTGTTTCGAGAGTAGTTGATGATCGAGCTCTGCCAGAGTTTTACATTAGTGGTAATCCCTTCAGATGTGATTGTACGATGAAATGGCTTTTGCTTATTAATTCGATAACTTCTAAAGAATATCCACGTGTGATGGATTTAGAAAATGTGATATGTAAAGAATCCTATGTACGTGGTGTTAAATATCTTCCAGTGAGTTCTCTCCTTGTAAAAGATTTTTTGTGTAAATACGACAGTTATTGTACAGATTCTTGTAATTGTTGCGATTTAGTTAACTGTGATTGTAAAGCTGTATGCCCTAGGAATTGTTCTTGTTATCATGATTCATCCAAAACAACTAGCGTCATTGATTGTTCTGTGAAACAATTTAAAATTATACCTTACGACTTTCCTGTAGTAGCAACACATATATATTTGGATGGAAATGTATTTAATGATCTCAATGAGACTATTTTTAATTCAATGCGAAATGCTATTGTTGTATATCTGAATTCTAGTAATATTTTAAATATTCACAATAATACATTTAATCAACTAGGTGCTGTAAGAATATTGCATTTAGATAACAACAAAATAAAACGTTTACTGGGTTTGGAGTTCTCTAAGCTAAGCAACTTGAAAGAACTGTATCTTCAGAGTAATGTTATTGAGTATATTTCAAACGAAACGTTTTCCTCTTTGGGCGCCCTGGAAATTTTACGCTTGGATGGAAATAGACTCGTAAATTATGGAGTATGGCATTTAGACAATAATAAGAAATTACAAACGGTTTTTATTGGTAGTAATTATTGGTCATGTGATTGCAAATACTTGCAAGGCTTTATAATTTATATTTCTCAAAATGTTGAAAAAATAATAGACATTAATAATTTGTGGTGTGTAAACGAGAAGATGAACCCAGCAAAGAAACCACTGAATTTAAATATCACTGTATGTAGCGAAATAAGCGATTCTTCTATGATAAGCGCATTTTTCGTATCTAATAACTTGCCTTTACTGGCATCTGCTTTAACTGGGTTTATGCTTATTTTACTCATTTTAGCTTTAGTATTCACGTTTCGATACGCTTGTAGAATGTGGTTGTATTCAAACTGCGGAATTAAGCTTTCTCCACTAGCTGGTGCCTTTAAAGATTCTGATAAACTTTATGACGCTTATATTTGTTATAGTCCTAAAGACGAGGAATTTGTTATAGAGTCGTTGGCCCGAGAGCTAGAAAACGGTTATCCATCTTATCACCTCTGTCTGCATTACAGAGACGTCCCGCAGTTTGAGGCAACATATGCTCAGTTTCCAGATTTAGTCGTTGAGGCAACGGAAGCCTCTAGGCGTATTATAGTAGTTCTAACAAAAAACTTTATCTTAACTGAATGGTCACAAATAGAGTTTCGACAGGCTCTACAGAAAGCGCTCCGGAAGAATCCACATAAATTAATAATAGTAGCCGCAGGGCTCGTCCCACGAGATCCGGAACTAAAGTCATATTTTAAAACGGGTTTGGAGATAACGTGGAAAGAGAAACGTTTTTGGGAAAGGTTACGTTACGCGATGCCGTTGTCGAAACGTCATGGTCAAAAGTTAAAAAGACTCAATTATGGAAGAAATTCTAACACATATACCGTAGACGCATCTGTGTTGAATGGTACTTGTCAAACGCTTTGCGGCAAGTCAGCTAATTCCGTAGAGCGCTCTCCATGCGATCGTCCTTTATCTGAACATATCTATTCAACAATTGATTCAGACTATTCGTCTAATGATTTTCAAGGGCGTCCCAATCAGCCACAGTCCGTGGTTTTGCAGCATACTGTTCAAACGTACCTGGTGTAAAGTACCTCAGTAAATATTAACCTCAAGTGATCTCTCATGATTGATCTGTAAAGCCTTAGATTTAGCCTTAGGCAAGCGTTGAAATCTTGTTTGAGTATAGACGAAAATCGTCCGATGTTGTAAATAATAGGATTTGTACCTAATCAATTTCTATAGTTAAGTAACTTTTGTACAATTATACCAAATTTTCGCATTTCAAATGATATGCTTCTTCGTATTTATTACTTTTTTAATAAAAAAGTTTTAAGTATTAATTGGAAAGACTGTAAATTATTGTGTAGTTGTATTTCAATTGGCTGATGTTTGTATAGGTATGTAATTAAAGAAATTTATGAATGATAAAATGATTTTTAATGATATTTCCCTCCCTTTTCGGACGCGCTGTTACGTCGATGAAGTAATAAAAATGCGCGAGCAACATCAAAATACATGTTTTATTCTGTTTTCAATGCTGTTTTTATGAGAATGGCTAGATATGGAGCAGTTGGTTTGTATAAACAGAATAAAAATGGAACGCAGCCGACATAGCTACACACGTCAGCTACCAATATTCAACCTTAAACACATCAAAAATGCTTTGTATGCATTGACCAACTGGAGTTTCATATAAATATTTTATATAAGCTTTCAATAATATAATTTAAAATTTTAGTTGACAGAGAAATTAAAACTTGACTGTAAAGAATATTCAAGTGCAATATTGGGCTGAGCAGAGACCAACACTGTAGGTCCATTCTTTGTAATTTATTGTACCAGTTACGGAAGTTGCTTTTATTGAGAAGAACCGACGAAAACAATATTTTAAATAATTACAATAATATAAACCAGCGTACTTACTAGATTTTTATATATGTTTTTTTTTGTATATATGTACACGAAATTCTCTTTTGTATATACGTATGTAAAATTCACAACAATAATTTGGGATGTTGTAGGTACCTATAGTATATAACTATCTCGTACTCACATCAAATATCAGGTAACTTATTTTGAATAATTTGTCCATTAATGTTAATTTCATTGTTTAATTAACTATTACTGTAATTGAAACAAAACCCTTTGAACAATTAAATGAATAATGTAAATTCATACTTAATGTTTAAAGTCAGGAATGATTGTTTCATATTGGTCATATATCATATTCCTTTACATTTATAAAAATATTATTATTAAATCTGGTTGTTTTCTCGTGATTTTGTTAGTGCGAAAATATTACGATATGTTTTCATGGTATATTTTGTGATACATACTCTTATTACAATATTTACATTATTAACTTAGAGAGTAAGTATTACGAGTTTCATTAATTTTGGGGTCTATATTTTCAACTTTTTTAGTCTATATCTTAATTATTTAAACCCATTCAACAATCTATTATGTATTATTTCCATTTTAGTTCCGTCCATTTTTACGTGATAACTTAAAAGACAAACAGACACAGTTATCGCCTGATCATGACTTTAGTACCTAATAAATAATTAGATCACTAGTAGGATTAATTTAGAATGCTAATTGTTTTAATGTATTCTATTTTAGTTCATATTTATAATACAGTTAAAACTTATCAATTACCTTCCTTTATGTATTGTCCACAGAGTCTAGAAAAAAATAAGTTATCACCTACATACAAACTGTCCTCAAGATAGCGACAGCAAAAAAGCTTGTATATCGATTTGATGTTTTTCTGCTGCCTACTACAGTTAGGCGGAACGTTCCCTCTTGCTATTTTGTATGTATAAGAAAAGTCTTCTCATTTATAACTTAGCTACATAAATTTTATATGCCGCATGGGACTTGAATTGATCACTTCGACTTTGCCGTCTTTGAAATGAAAGACATGTCATGGACTTATTATATACAATATGTATGTAAGAATATTGTACGTGATGATGTATATCGTAATTTTATTTCGGTCATGGCCGTTCAATGAATAACGATCTTTTTAGTATACATAATAGTTAGATTGTATGGATATTTCCGCAATTAGGTACATATATTGTAGCCTCGTGATTGGGCCATTATGCATCTAGTAGGTTTAGGTATATAAACTTGTATCGTATTAATAAGCATTAATACGATACAAGTTTATATTCGTGTTTACGACCATGTTCGTGAACAACAGACGTGAAAATGATGCTCTCTAATCAATAGCGGTACTTCAATTAATTTATCACTTTATTAGACTACTAGCTGTGTCCGCGACTTTGTTTCACTTTATATTCGGAATAATAACAGGATATAACTGTTTAATTTGTGGTAGTCTGGTATGAAATCATCATTACATAGTATAAAATAAAGTCGCTGTCGCTGTCTGTCCCTATTTACGCTTAAATCTTTAAAACTACGCAATGGACTATGTAGCGGTTTTTTTAATAGACAGTGATTCAGGAGGAAATTTTATATATATAATACATGTACATCCGTGCGATGCCGGGGTGGGTAGCAGGTAATGGTATAAATAATGAATACTGAATGTAACGAGAACAAGTCAGGAAAATCAGTTAAAGGCAATCAAATCGATTATTATGTTTTAGAAATTAGCGTGCACAATCGTACTGACAATAATTTAAAATCATTTTTATACCTCGGTAATATAAAGAGAACATTCATAATTTGTCTATTTAAAAAAATATACAGACAGAAGTATAAGTGGTATGGGTCACTAACATTAAATGAGATATAATATAATCACCATAAGAAAAATTGATAAAGAGCGAACGCCAATAAATGGTAACTACTCGTAGCTAGTGTAGGCATAAAAGGTTTAACTTATTCCCATATTCTCTCTTACTTTGTCTTAGATATTGTGTGGAGATCGCGTTAGTTTCTAGAGAGAGAAAAGATTTCCCATAAATTCCCACGGGAACAAGTATATTTTCTCCGCAAGGACAAAGCCGTGGGAAACAAATTGATTAGTAAAATTGTCTCTATTTTTAATCTGCTATCTATATATCGTAGTTAATTATTTTTAATATTTGTTCGTGTAAATAACAATATAGTAAAGATTTAATATATTTATATTATAATTGTTATTGTCATGATATATTCATTCTCAATCATTTAATATAATTGTAGGCATTTTAGATATATTCGTATAGTATAATTAATAAGAGCGAACAATGAATCTGTAAGCGCTTTTGTAAGATTGAGACAGACCTACCCGAGAGCGTATTAGGTTTAGTGTTTACTGCTCTTATATACACCCAAGAGGAATTGAGTTCAAACCTGGTAGAAACCTGGTAGAGAGAGAAAAAGTATGAAACCAAATTAAAAAATAAACTGATAGACCTAGGTAGATTCAACATGTTGTATTCAAATACAACATCAATAGATGACAACGTCTCATCAAATAGTCGTGATGCTATGTTTTTTAACTGACTCTAGAAAAGGAGGAGGTGGTACAAAAAAGGGGAGGGTTGTCTTATCTCCGTCATTTATAAACCGATTAAAAAAACATTTTTTATTTGAATCAGTATACTTTCAGATTAGTCCTTTTTTTGAGATTTTAAAAGTCGGATTTTTTAATTATTTCTATATTACATATGTTTCCTATAATAAATAAATAGTAGGGAGCCGAAGTAATTTTAGAAGTTATTCGATACACTCAACCACGAATATGCCAACTGACCTAATGTCTATTCACGGTACGTTGAATATCCATTAACGTCCATTCATAGTAAATTCTTTTTTATTTACGTACTTATATGTAGTTGTATTGAATTTAATGACGGCCGGATGTGGATACCATTAAATTATACCGTCGCATCGATGGAAGTACAGTCTTTGTTAATGTTTAAGTAAAATCAAAAAGTGTTGATTGTGTTTACATTTATCTAGTAGAATTTTTTTTTATTCAAATCATCTTTATATTTCTTTATTTCTTTCAATCTTCCACCACTTTTGGAGTGCAATTTCAGCAATGATCTCTGGAAATTCTTGAAACAATTCACTTTTATAAGTAAGCTCGTAAGCTCAGTTCCGATTTCGTATGATATGTATATTCATAATTAATAAATTGTGTTAGTAATTTCGCTACATTTCATTCTATTGATTTATATTTGAATGTAAATGTAACAATCTATGTCAACATAAAACATATAGCAAGTAATAGATCTTTATAATTTCTTACAAAGAATTTTAATAACTAACTAATGAATTAACTACAACGTTGAAAACGGATAAAGGCGAAATTAAAAAAGTATACACATTTATAGACTTGAGGTACATCTTCTACTATGTCTATGTGTATATGTATATGTTTTGATGTTACTCCTTTATAACTTCCAATAAAAATAAAATTGACCTAAAGCCATTCAGCTCTTGCCATTTGCTATATAATATGAACAAATAAACAATTGACAAGTCGCGTTATAAAATTCGATTAGCAAGTGATTTTTGACGCCCTCCCCACACAACACTTACCTAACCGAATTATCGTGGGCTTGAAATTTAAAGCATGGCCCCCTCGTTCCTGCCTATTAAATTTATTGCTTGTAAAACGAGGAGCTAATTTAGAGTTACATTTTATTGTGTTAGCTTAACTACTTTACTGGCGTGAGTGGCGCCACGGGTGTGCACACATAGCAAATCCTATGTATTATGACGCGCACGACAAAGAAAACTAAACCTTTAGTCAATGTGACTAAGATTGAATAAACAGGAGCAGCTATTAGAAATATGATATCAGGATGTTCCGCCTATGTATATGTATATCTATATGGAATTTTATTCGCCGTGCCTACCTTCTTGTAATAAAGCAGTAGGGTGTTCTATTTTTACAATTCACCAAACGAGTCTATTTTTATTGTTCAGTCGTAATTCTGCTGTTCTATTGGCTTCCCAATAAACGTAGACCTTGGTTGTTATTGATGTTTGTAATAGGAATAATGAATTCATTTGTACCATACAGTCTTGAACAGCGTGCACCTTGAGTAATCGTAACATTCATATTTTATTGACGCGTTCGCCCTACAACGTTATTTACTCCGTTCTATAAGTGGGTGGGTAAACCCTGGAAACCTTGGAAGCAATTTTCAAGCTAAGACAATCTATTGTTAATTGGCAATGACTAATGTTCTAGTAATAATTTAGGAATAAGTTTGATATACGTAGAACAAGGAATGAATAAATATCTGATGATATTAAACTTAAACACCTCGTATCTAATGTCAAATTTACCTCGTGTCTGATAGGTCCTGACTATATATGATCATTTTAGCAAAGTATCTTTTAATATTGTCAGATCGTTTGAAAACAATTACATGGTCATATTATAGCTTCAAATAGTCGACACTATTGTCGAAAATTTGAAAATATCAAGT